CTCTGGACAATATAGTACACCTCTGTGGTCTGCGCTCCTTCCACGGAGGAGGAACAGCAGAACCACACGAATGATCTCTCTCTGCTGAAGCCCTCTCGTCGTGTCAAGCGGATCTCGACATTGCCATTTAGCTCCTGAACGTATTTCCATAGGCAAGAGTAGAATGGAACCACCAGGACTGTGGGACTACTGGTTGAGAGACGTTTTGCTCCCAACTTTTCGTGTATTTAGGAAAGAACATGTGTAGTAAGTATATATGGAGGCTTGACGACAGGATCGGAGGCACACTTATTTATTACACCAACACAGTTATTACAGGTCACTTGGCTACAGGGATTCTCGACAGCTAACCCCTCTAACCTATACCAATTCCTCCACTACGGGACTAGGGGAGGCTATCTGTCCCAGCTTGGTTAAGCTGGGATCCCGGCTCCCTGAGTCACCAGACCAGCTTAGTCTGGGCTCTCGGGGCCACGCCACCGGCTTGCCCTGGTCGGCCCTTATAAGGACAGCGAGCCAGGGGAGCTCTGGGGCCTACACTAGCTGGTCTTCCGTCTTCTCTGGTTAAAGCTGAGTCCCGACCTCGAGCCCTCGAGCTCATCACCTTTTATAGGACTCGCCCCCGAGGGGGGGCCCGTGGGGGATACACATGCGGACGTCGGTGCGAGCGCCACCCTTGTGTACGGCCGTAACCCCGCCCCTTGTGTTTGTTGGCCATCCGTGGCCATGCATAATCACACCTCAACATTCGTAGCCATGCGCAATTACACCTCTACACATGTAAGGATCAATCGAGCTTTAAGTTCACTTAAGAGTTTGGTTAAAGTGTGTGTAACCAGGAATGCAGTTATTTGAGTAACTTATTTAAGGCCCTTTTGAAACCCATCGGTGGAAACGTGCCATAAAAAGAAACTACATACAAGTTGTGAGCTATTGTGCTGTATACAATGTGATGAGTCAATCAAATTCAAATGCTATTTATTTATAACCACTACAATATCTGATGGAAATGGAAAACAAAATATAAAATGGCATATCGTTCAGTGTGGGAGAATTATGCATTATTTCACCACATCACGCTCTACTCTTGTTGAAAATTTGCAAGCAGAGTGGACACGAGACTTAAACATCCCTCCCTCCTTTGCGTCTTCGTACGATAAAATGAGAGAGTATATTGTGTGGATGATACTAGACACAGAGAAGCCCGCAGGCTAACGTGTCCAGCATGGATAAAACATGGCTTGGTTAATGCTGAAGCCAACGTTAGCTTCCAAGCCATGGGGCAACATAACCCGATGCTTTGAAAATGTTTGTTGAATGAAAGCAGCTTTCAGCCAATATCGTGTGCATGATGAAAACGCTTCAGTGCCATCCCAGTTAATCAAAGAGGAGTGATACGATTAACGTATATGTGGATAAAAGTGATTAAACTTATTACAAAACTGCTCTCAACATTTCAAACGTATTTATCTTGGTACGCCAACTTACCCCACTCCATGCAGGCATACTTCATAAAGAATTGGGGCTGCCACTGTGACGAGATGTTAACTACCTCGCCTGGCATACAGGAAGTAGTGGGTTCGATCCCGACCCTGACGCATGTGTATTTGGAGTTCGCGTGGATTTTTCTCCGCATACTCCGGTTTATCCCTCCACATTTAGACACATGCATTTAGAGAATTTGCCTGCTGTAAATTTCCACATGATAAGCCACTTCGTTGAGCTATCATTTGCGTTGCCAAGGTCGCTTCTGAAAAAGAGCTATAGAGTTTAGTGGGCCTTACCTGGTAAAAAAACAAAGTTACAATTGTAGTGAATTCACAATGCATCTAGGGCAGCACCCTCCTGAAAACAATCTTGAGACTCACTAAGGCTTTGCGTGTCAATTGCATTATTAAGTACCACGTGAAAGAAATGGATGACCTGCACGTGTGAAGAAGGCTGTCCGTGATTTGAAGCTTTCGTGACTGCAATGATTCATATTCTTAGGTTTTTTCGGTAAAGTCACGTAGGTAAAAACATTAAAAAGTAAAATAAAATAAAAAATCACGACGTTTCGGAGGCAACACAAGCTTCCGTCTTCAGGTGGTACCGTCACAGCCACGACAGCTGTATCAAGTAAATGAGAGATTGCAGGAGTTACCACTGCGTTTATATTTTATTTCACTTTTTAATGTTTTTACCTACGTGACTTTACCGAAAAAACCTAAGAATAAGGCTGTCCGTGACTATTCGTGGTGATGCTCCCCAGGAAATGTATGTAATCCAGGGCCAATGTCATCCCACGTACATACACACAACCTCGCCATAATAATTCCTCCCATTAACTTGATAGGCGGCAGGTTGCCACGCTCTTAGCAAGGACACGGAGAGCTCGTAAAACAAAGAGGTCACATGCCAGAACGATGCCCAGTCGTGTTTTCTGACCCAAAACTGGTGTTTGCTCCGGATGCAATGACGCATTAACATTGGCTGCTTAACTTTTACAATGCAATTAATCGAATTGCGTAAAAATCTACGTGTGTTGATTTGTACGTGCTGCAGCGCATTTAAATGTCATACGAATAACATTGCGGTCGTCGTGTTTTGAACTGGCCCCTGCAGTCCACGAGATATTGCGAACATTCACCACGACGTGCAGAGAATCGATTCTCGAACCAGATCGTGATTATGATTTCAGTGGCCTGGGTATTCAATGGATGGCCATTTCAATGGCTGGCCATGGAAACGTGTACGTTTACCTTCCCCAGGTTGATTCAGCGTAAAAAAATAATATCTGGAATGGGGTAGTGAATGTAAAGCACGCTGGAAATAAAGGTGGCCGAGTGTGATGAAAGTGACAGCAACTCCTCGTGTGCCCGCCTCAATAGCTGCTCTCTGACAAAGCAAACAAGGACAATTCATGGTTTCACAACTTGTAATGCGCACACGGTATTCACTCACTCTCTGTGTACGGGATCTTTCACCCGATCTTCCCGAGAGCGGCCTGCCACCAGACGTCCGCAACGTACCGAGTGTCTCTCAATTGCGTGGTCTGTGCAAGACTCACCTACGCAGAGTTGCCTTCCCATACCATCAAAAAATTAAGAGCAAAAAAAAACGGTTTCTTTACGCATTTTACTATGTTTATGCTATTCGTTGGGTTCGATTGTATTTTATTTTTTGCGTGCGGTTGCAATCTATTTTGCTCAGTCGGTGGTTGCCGCTGAGGTCTTGGGGTCGGGCTTCTGATTTCATTCCTCTTGCTGTATGCCCCCTGCACTGTTCCCGTTCTGCTATGGTGTGCACTGATGCCTACATTATTGCAGGCACATAAAATAAAGATTTGATTTGTTCTCGAAGAGAGCGAACGACTCGGGAGGCGCGAGGAGCAACGGGCCAAGCGGGGACAGGCAGCCAGGCGGTGAGTCAGTGCCAAATCCCCCCCTACCTCCAAGCTCTGCGGTCCTCTATATATATGGTAAAAGGTGCTTTCGGCCATTTAATGCATATTTACACGTGGCAGGACACCGGAGAACAAAGAAAAAGCCCGCACGAGCAAGTGGGCAACACCCCATTCCATATACAGCAGTCCCTGGGTTAAAAGTGACATCGGTTAACGTTTTTTTCGGTTAACGTTTCACCTCCCATAAGACCCCGTGGTTTCGACTAACGTTAACATGGTCGATGAACAGTTTAAGTTATCTGCACGCGGGCGCCAATGTCGGCCAATCCGAGCGGGGCTGAGCCATGCCCTCAGCCAATCAGCGACGCCAATTTATGAGCGTTTAGACCTCGACTGCCTTAGTTCCCATCACGTTTTCTGTTTTGTCAGTGGAAACATCTCTCTTGCAGACTCATGGCCATTCCGAAATTCGATTCACAGATATTTCGGTTCGCAGCGGTTTGCGTGCGACGGATTAAAAACGTACTCTTTGGTTCTTTCGGTAAAGTCACGTAGGTATCAAATAAAATAAATCACGACGTTTCGGGGTGTGGGTGGACTCTGTGCGGTGGTGAGCCATCAGTTCAGCTGTGTCCCTCAAAGAGGGGGGCCCGATCACCCGGTCGGTGGGGGCCCGGCAGGAGCCGATGGATGCGGGGCAGGGAGCGGACGGGGTGGACCTCACATCCCACCTGCCCACCGAGGGCGGTGGGGTGCACGTCGGCCCACACAGAGTCGTGTAGTTCCAGATGCGATTGGCGGATAGCCCAAATCGCGGATAGCAATCTCGTGAATGAGGGAATAGCGCATACTTCACAATACTAATCGGTGTGGGCTAGTGAAGGCATAGCACATGTACACTATAATCATAACCAGAGCCTGCGGCGGCCCCGAACAACCACAGCGGACGGCGGGCCCTCCACAGACTGGCCAAGGAAATCCTTACGATCCACTCGCATGGTGTGCGGTGGGTCGTCATCCAGCAGTGGATTTAAGCACCAAAAAACCTCGAGTACTAATGTAATGGACAGAGCACGGCTCTCCCTCAGGGCAGCAGTGGAGAGAGCGCGACTCTCCCTCCGGGCAACAGTGGAGAGCACGGGGGTCCCTCAGGGCAGCAGTGGACTGAGCACGGCTCTGCCTCACCCGTCTCCTCTGAGCTGCATGCGCTTGTATGCGAGTGAGCTGTATGGGCGAGCCGTGTGCGAGTGGATTGACCGTCAGCTTTCCGTGGCTGCGGCTGTCATGTTGCTGCTTCTCGGGCCCTGAGGTGCGGGGCGCACAACAGAAAGTCGCCAGCTCGCGGTCACGTGACGCACTTCAACCAATCCGGGAGCGTACATGTTTGGGAGGGGCTATGCACGACGGCCAACTAATCCCCGGTGGGCAGTGTGGAACTGTTGTTCCTACCTGTAACATGCCTTAATGGAGCACGTGAAGCTGGTAAACAGAGCTCTGGGTCACTGGTGTTGCAGAAGAATAGACATTGAAGGAAAGTGCACATAATTGGCTTGCTGAGGACAAGGCTTTTAAGAGTTCAAATTTTATATCCAAATTACAAAAACAGAGAGGTCGATGAAATTGATTTTTTTTTATTGAAGCCAAGTGAGAGCCCGTTGAGACAGCATGCCTTTATTTACAAGGATCTCAGTTGAACGATTCGCTGACTTTATTTCAAATTAAATGCGATAATTTTTAACCACTCAGAATGCTGGTGTAAGTTTAGAATGAAAACACAATGTAGGCGATTTAAATACCAAACAATATACACTAGTATAACAAAGTCTGCTACGTCAGGAGGTAAGCACTGATATGACAGGTTAACAATTGTGCAATTGAGTGTAATTATAATATTTTATCATTGCCTTTTCATGTTACCTTGAGGGATACATGAATGTCCTGTTTGCCTTAAACATAGAAAGCAATGGTTTAGTAAGCCCTATGAAAAAAAATACCTTCTAATCTAATGAACAACAGGCTCACCGAATCTTGTGCAATGCACCTTTCTTGCACTGCCTAAGAGGAAGCCAAAAAAGAATGTGGGTGTTTAATTTCCTTAAATATCAAAATATTGATTCTATGCAGCAGTTGAAATCTATTCAAGTCAAATAACGTTTGTGATTTTCCCTCTCAAATTCCAACTCTCATCACGGGAGTGTGATGCTAGATTTAGATTTCAGCTGCATGGGCCAACACAGCGCTCCCACAATGCACCACGGCTCACTGCATAGGGCGGTCAGATTTGTAACACGGTATCTTATAAACCAAGTTAAATCGTTTCGGTGCTCAAACTCAAGCGGGCGTGTTCTCATCTCGCACCTCCGATTAGCACGGTTGGCTACGTATGGTGCGAAACAAGTTCAACATACATATATCTCCCTATGGCAGCCTTCAATGGTGTAAAGTTCCCACTATCTGGCAGGGGCTGCTTTATGCATCTGCGCAACTGTTGCTAACCTCACACAAGTGGTAATCATTGGTCAAACTCGGTGGGATAATGGGTTGATGACTGCAGCTGTGGCTTTCAGCTCAGAATTTTCTGATTTAGAGCCTTCCATCTGAACCACAGTACTACCCAGCGAGACATACTACATACATGCATATAGTGTTATTGTATTTGCAGTAGATTTAATTATTATGAATAATCAGGGAAAATGGCACAGCATCGCAGGAGAAAGAGGATAGCTACCGAGTTCTCATCCCCCGAGGGATAATGGCCTGACATTCAAACTGATTGATTCAAACGATTCAAACTCGCAACCTCTTCCACATAATAGTAAGTCAGTTGCACTTTCGTTATATCACTATAGGGCAAAATGGCATGACACTTAAATGTCACGATTTCACCCAAGATAGTGTGGTTTCTCTTGCCACTGAACTTTCAGAATAGTCGCGCAGCCCGAGATGCACAGCCAAACTGATCGCACAAAATATTATCCAGTAATTCTTTGGGTTGTACCTTTCTTTAAAGACAGAACTCAAACAGTTAAATGTTTGTTGTTTTGTAGCTACACGTGACAGCTGCATCACGTCGTCCAACACGAGTGTTAATGTTCAGCTACGCGACTGTCAAGTAGTGCACGGTCATAACACCTTCTTGTGAAGGTGTCACAGTCCGCTCCTGAGCTCCATCCACAAAGGTGGGAGTCACATGACCCCCCGCTTACAAGAGGGCACGCAGTACATTGTGAGACCATTCAACGTTGATCTATGGAGCCGGGCATGACTCGGAGAGTTTTGAATGCATATTAAGCCAGGGAGCTGGAAATTTAATACATTTATTTTATATTTACAGGCGTAGAGTTCAACTGCTGCGTATCCACGGACACTGTACTTATTTTGTGATATATGACGCATTTTTTTTTAACGGCACTGCTGAATGGGTCCAGTCGAGTCGGGAATTTGCTAACCAAGCGGCGGCTACCTGCAGCGCTCCGTGTCGTGCAGTCAAGTGTCAGGCGAGTGTGTTTGTGTGCCAAGTTCGGGGTCCACGACTCGCGCGCGCTGGGAGCGGCGCGGCGCGGTTTGCGAGAGGGCCGTGCCCCGAGGGGGGCCCCATCACATCTGCTGCGTCGAGTTCCCGTTCCACGTGTTGTTGTCGTCATCGTTGTCGCTGTCGCCCCGTGAGCCCAGCTGGTAGACGTTGCCGTCGCGCTTGAACCCACCGCCGCCTCCTGTTGCGCCGGTTCCTGTCGCAGGCTTCCTGCGACGCGGCGCCCCTTCCCCTCTGACGTCGGTGGTGCCGCTGCCAGCGCTGCTGCTGCTGCCTGCCCATTCGTCGTTCGCCACAAGCAAAGTAACACAAGAGGAACATGCATGCATGCATCAGCGGACTGTTAACGTACACGTACGTCATCAGTTGTCCTTCCGATTCCGTTCCGAATCGATTCCGAACGGAATCGGAAGTAAAAGGCCATGCGGGAGGCAGCGTGGCACAGTTTGGCGCCAGCAATCGTAGAGTGCGGCCGTGTCATTACGGTTCTCTGCGGCGAGTACAATATCTTTAAAAACAGCAGCGCTACGCCTCTATAAATAAAATTAACGCTAACCGCTTGCACGTTCCAGGATTCGGCGGTGAACGAGGCAACCACCCTGCAACTTGCAGACATCTTGGAACTGGAAAGGGCGAAGCACGCAATCTACTGTATTGCTTGGACTCAAACTCAGGTTCTCTGTAGTGCTGAGAACTTCCAATAGAGCTACATGGGCATTACCAACTAGAGCTAGACAACCGCCTTCTCTTGAGTGAATGCAAACAAAAGCAAACCACTATTTTTTTGCACTCTACACGCAACAATTCCAGGCAGGACAGAGTGTGATTAATTGATAATACTTGTTACTAGGTTTAGTTTAGGTCCGCCAAGGCAGCGTGTTTTATAGAGGTAATCGTGTCACCAAATCACGAAAAAACCACAGCTTGTGCCTACTACAATACCTTTAGTGAAGGTTAAAACATGTTATTTTGAAATAGAATAACACCTTTCCAATAACTTAAAACCTTGCGAATACGTAACAGTTGCGAGAATTTTTTTTTTGCGACACGTACAATGACTCAGAACGCACGTGAATAGCGGCTGCCGCTATATTTTGACCTCGTTTACGGAGCGCCGACTTCTGGGCCTTGCACTATACCTGCCGGGGTCCCGTGCTGCTCGTGGACCCGCAGTCGCCGCCGCCGCCGCCGTCGCACCGCCACCGCCACCGCTGATGTGGCCCGCTGGTGGGTGCTGCACCGGCTGGCCGAACAGGAAGTTGCCGAGAAAGCGCCACACGGCGACGATGGGCAAGAGCAGCGTGCCCATGAGCGCGAAGAGTCCGTCCACGCTGAAAGCGGACGTCCCGCCGGGGGAGCGTGCTGCCACTGCTGTGCGGTTGCCCTGAAACGGAGCCAAGCGGAGGGGGGAGTGGCGAGTTGGCGGAGCGCTGGCTTGAGTGATTAAGTGCCTTACTCATGCAATCTTGCGAGTTCACATGCCACTTATGTATGTATGCTGAACTTCTTTCGCAATGCACGTCGCCAACCGTGCTAATCGGAGGTGCGGGATTCGGAGTTACAGGATTGGTTCAGCTCATCATCCCTTTGGGGTCGATAAAGAGTAGCACTTTGGATAATCCACAATAAGTGTCTCCTTTTAGAGTGAGTGAACCCCTTTACGTATAACAAAAACGTGGAATTTCCACCACTGGTTCAGGGCTGCCAATGGAGGCATTGCACTGTGTCTGTGGAGCAGTAGCAATACTGACTTTATTGACTTGACTATTAATTGTAAACTGTATTCTACATTCAATGTACATCGTTGTGTTAATGATAATTCAGATGAAACATGTGCCTCCATTCTTAACTTCACGTTCACCGGTGACCATGCTCTGCTGCTAATCCCGAGCCAATTATTATGAATTCCACATTAACGCATTTACATATTTTTGTTTCTACCAGTATACACCATCGTCTCCACTTATTGTGTCATATGTTATAAACAGCAAGCAGTGAAACACACCAAGTTATCTTGTCATTCACAAGGGCAGGCCATTTGCGTGCCAGCTAGGGACAGCTGTCACTGGGGGCTTCGGGGTCCTATTTCAAATGTGTTGAGACGAGACGCAAAGCGCTCCGGAAATGCCCCCTGGCATACATGGGGCTAATATCAAAAACATAATCATCATTATCGTTCTGTACTATGCCCCCACATCCATTAAAAACTATTTAACTATTTTTATTTTACCAGATAAGGCCCACTGAGTGATGTAGCTCTTTTTTCAGAAGCTACCTGGCCGCAAATTATGGCTGAACGGTGTGGCTTATCATGTAGAAATTTATAGAAGCCAAATACTCTAAATGCATGTTTATAAATGTTTAGGGAAAAACCGGAGGACCCAGAGAAAATTCCACGTGACCATGGGGAGAGAGAGACATACAAACTCCAAATATAAAGGAGTCAGTCAGGATCGAACCCACAACCTCCTGTATACCAGGCGAGGTAGTTAACATCTCCTAGCCACCTAATCAGCGCGAAGTACAATGAATGAACTCCCAAAAACCGCATTGCATGAGGAGGCCCTCTCCCAGCAGTGGATTAACACAAGGGCTGCGCGTCGTGGCATTGGTGGAGCCGAGTGCGTGCGCCCGGCGGTGTCCGTGGACGCACAGGCAATACGATGATGGCGGCGCTGGGTGCGAGGCCCAGCTCCTGCAGGGTTCTGGGATAGTCATCAACGGTGAAGTTCCTGCGCGGGAAGGCGGTCGCGAGGGTAAAGTCTCCGTACGCGTTTTTCACCACCTGCGCGGGGATACGGGAGGTGGGGGAAAAGACGGCTGTCAGCGAGGGCATGGGGCCTGCACGCAATGGCGCTCATTTAAAGCGCGAAGATCTTTATGCACCAGGACAACGGAGAATATAGCTTGTTTTTAAAGGAACACCGGGTAACGGTAGGGAGATCGATGCATTAATTTATTAACTTGAGGTTTTTGCCTGTTAAAAAGATCCTTTGTTTTGCTTCACGGACGCTGGCGAGCACCTGCCAAGACTGCCACGGCAATACGTAGGAGTGGTTGTGGGCAAAGCCGGACTTTGCCGGTAATGAACAGAAAAGCCTTACTTCTATAAAAAGATAATCAAAAAGAAGCCAACCATCGTGATACAGTTCCCTTAAAGAGATAAAAAAAAAACTCCGCTTTGTCAGGTTTTTTAAACGAATTGCACAGCTGACGGTATTTGTCTCACTTGTGCCACAAAGCTTAGAAGTGGTGCGCACAACGGAATTTGAGAACCGACGGTATAATCATTGAAGACATGCTTCGGCTTAAATCTCACGGGAAGTGGGTTTTACGGTACCCTAAAGTTCTGTCACGAGTAACAGCATTTGCTACCGGGCAAAGAGTAACACTCTGATTTATACCGCATTGGTGTGTATCACGAGGAGCATAAAATGTTTAGGAGGTAAAGACAAGTCTTGTCCAACTGTTGCAGTCAGAAAGACGGTAATGTCACATTGGACAACATCCACATTTATGAACTCTACCTCTGGAGTTACTTATTATGAATGTATTATTACGTATGCTTACTTACCCACGTAAGCCTCACTGAGTCTCAAGACTCCTTAGCAGGAGGGGGGTTCCATCAAATGTTTGCTGTAGGGGGGCGATGTTGCTGCGTGTAATCCCAATTAAGTAATTTGCAGATAATTTATCAGCATTGGGATGTTTGACCAAAGGAAGTTACATTGTATGTTTTGTTTTTTTAGCTTTGGGAAGAAACCGGTGAATCCGAGTTGGGAATCAAACCCAGGATCTTCTTGCCATGAGCCACAAGTGATGGTGGCACACACAAGCTAAATGACGTGCTTTCTGCACTTGCTGCTAACACAGCAGTTGTAGAACAATTATGCGGTGTTTTCAAAAGCTGAAACGTTGTGCTTCTTAATGAGTTGTCAAAGTTAATGGACACTGCACCTCAAAGTTTACAAATAAAAATGGACTTCAGCACCGATAAAGCCTGTGTCATTATTGGATCGCCATGTCTGCGAGTCTCTCAATCCTGATTGGCTCACTTTAACTTAACACATTTTACCGTAGCTCATCGGCTAGCTCTTACCCATAAACACGTTATATATTATTTTGTACAAGCCACTTGTAGGTTGTTTTTTGCTTATTCATGTTTTTGCACCGCTGCCAATACATTCCATTTAATTCGTTGTTTAGCTGACTGGCTAATGTATTAACACATTTGCCTGTTACTGATTGGCTACCTACTCGAACCTTTTTAACATATTTACCTGCAGCTAACTGGCCCATTGGCTGACCACTTGTTTAAAGTTCGTTTGCTGCTCACGTTGAACATCCGTGGTTCTCGCGATGAAAAGCCGCTGCCGTAGTCACGCTCAAAAAAACCGCACCAATGTGAAAGGCGCTTTATGAGGATTCAAATAGCTGCGGGCACACTTTAATGGATTTGTCGTATGTGGCTTTCAATGTTACAGCAATACAAACAATTGTCATTTTTATTATACGACATCCGCTACCGCAGTATTACAGATGAAGCAATCAGGACAATCGGTTATTAAGGACAATCGTTCATTAATGAGGGTCCGAGTTGATGACCAAACTCGCAGCCTCGTAATTGCAAGCAGCGCACTCTAACCACCTGGCCATTTACATGAATGCCTTATACTACTGGCACAATTAGTACGGTGTAAAAGACGAAACAAAAAGGTGGTGGTACAAACACCGTTACCTGCTGTGCAAACGTTCTGGCCTCTGCGAGTGTCGTCTCCGAGGCGAACTGGTTTGTGAAGTAGGAGCCATCGGGAAGGCGATACTGAATCCTTGCCATAGCGCTGAGTGCACACAGGGCAAGAGAGACACCAAACATGTTAAATTAGATTTGGATACTGAGAGGGTTAGATCGAGTTACTACCTCGAACTACGTCTGTGACACATGGCGCCATCGTGATGGCCTTGCGCTCTGCAGGAATGGCGTGAACACCACATGTACTAACTTATTAATTATCATGTTTGTATGTTGAACATCTTTCGCAATGTATGTAGCCAACTGTGCTAATCAGAGGTACGGGAAATAAAAATGTTTTTATTATAATAACATCAGTAAGTATGAGGTATTGTGCTCATCGGTGCATTCTACTGTACTCCTATGTGGTAACCGTGGAAGGCGAGGTAAGAGGAGCTACGACTGGGAAGATGGGCCAGACTATGGCTTATCCTCCTGCAAAACTAAAGGCTCCTTCTTGAAGGAGGCATCCAGAGTTGACCGTCTTGCCTGGAGCTTCTTCAGCCGGAGAATTTCTCTGTCACAGGAGATGCTGCCAAGCGCAAAGCTCTTCACTGCGCTGCTGCACTTCCAACCAAGGTCATTCTCAGAGAAGATCTCCAGGAAATCCGTGATCTTAGTGATGCCTGCAGTCAACATTTCCGTAGTGAGTTTTTTTTAGGTGGAGCCTCTTCTGCAGTAGTGTTTTCTGCCTCAAGAGCGTGCTGTTGTTCTAGCTCCTAACAGCTCCTTGTCAGAGGTCGCAAACGGGTTTTGATTCCTTACCCGTACCCGGCCGCACCAGGGTCGTAAATGGGTACCCGTACCCGTACCCGGCCGTACCCGTACCCTACCCGTACCCAGTCAGGTACCGGTAGGATACGGGTATCGGGTACCTGATTGCGACCTCTGGGATAAAGCCATATTGCAGGCGCGGGTGGGTTGATTCTAGGAACTTGAATTGTGAGAAGAGACAAGACGTTGGGAAATGAGTGACAAACGGTTACTCACCAGTGATTCACGGCCTACCCGTACCCGGCCACACCAGGGTCGCAAACGGGTACCCGTACCCGGCCGGGTACGGGTAGCCGGGTATCGGGTAGGGTACGGGTATCGGGTGCCCGGTTGCGACCTCTGCTCCTTGTTAGTAAGGCTCTTTCCATGAGACTGCAGTTATTCCTCGACATAGTCAATGTCTTATTCGTTTGATCCGACTTGGTTGGCCAGCTGGACGATCGAAGTCACTGGCTTTCACCTCCACGAACCTCACAAAGTTCTTGCGTGCCTCCGGGCCATACCGTCCGCCAGACATTGTTCAAACAACAAGTGCCGGTGACTTCCTCCCCAGGACGTGCTTATGTTTGCGATGACTTTCGTGATGTTGCAGGACTTACAGAAGTCCCCAATTGACTGCTCATCTTGACCATCCGCTGCCTCCACCAGCTGCTTGAACGGTACATCGAAGGTAGTAAGCTTTGAAATTTGACGTGACGCCCTAATCCATAGGCTGGAGAAAGGAAGTTGTCTTCGGTGGAAGGAAAACCACCTTCCACAGGTAGTGAAGTCCAGAGAGAGACCAAGGCGGAGTAAACACACATCGGCAGGCGGGTGTGTGTTTTTTTTAAACTGGTGAACGCTGCTTGGCTTAGAGCATTCGCCACTCTCATTGGCTAAGTGAATGTAAATAAAGATGGCGGAGGGTACATTTGCTCAGCCAACGCTGCGTTCTCACTCCTAAGTGCTTTTTAGATTTTTGGGATTTTCTTCGCATTTTTTTGGTAAAAAATTTCTTCAGGACAAAGAGCGCTATACTACAGGGTAGCGCTACGTGAAGTCTACATGTACATAAATTGGGTTATTTGCTTTAAAGGTGGAGTGATTTCCTCCTCAAACGAGCATCGAGTCAGTTTTCATCACCACTTTACAGCCCTGACCCAGTCATAGAAATTCCACATTCCTATGGTCGAGGTGAGTTCATCCATAGGACACTTGTAAAAAATTAAGCTCGGAGGGATGACGGGCAAAGTCAGCCCCCAACCTTAGGATCGCCACCTGCCAGCTCTACTGTGGAGCCACCCGGCTGGATTAATTTGCTTGAGACCGATGCAAGTGCACTCACGTGCGATCCTGCTGTGTCTGCTCCTCCTTGGCTCGCTTCTCCGCCTCCTTGGCCTGCTGAGCGGCCACACGAGCCGCATCCACCTCCTCCTTCTCCCTGTTGTAGCGTTCGGCTCTCTCAGCGCGGTCCTGACAAGCACAAAGACGAAGATCCCCCTCTTTTGCCTTAACCGATTTTTGGCGCAAGTGCAGTTATTGCGTAGCACCTATGAAGGCTGGCACATCAAACGAGGGGGTGGGTGGCCAGCACTACGCCAGACCACCTTTGTCTCCCGAGTGGCAATGTTTACACACCGCACCAGGTACTCATTTAAGGTCGAGTCGCCCTAGGGGAGGCACAGAACCAGTTCAGATAATCGTCACTGGTGTTGGCCGTGAGCGGGAGTTGAACCCGGGTCGTCGAGTTCATAGTGCTAACTGCTACACCACCGCTTCCCACCGACATGCACACACACACACACACAACCACAAAGATAAAAGCCCAACGTTCAGCCTCTAAAAAGGGTCACACTCCTGAGCGTTCAGTTGCACAACCAAATCGCTCTCAAAATCGGGCAACTTTGTCCACATCTGTGCGAGTAACTGTGCGATAATATTCCCGCATTTGGAAGTGTGCATATTTTTTTTCTGATAAACTTCAGGAATAGACTCCTTCAGTGCTGTCTGTTCTTTCTATGGCTTCCATTAATTTTAACGATGGCCTGAAATGAACAAGAATCCCAAATGCAGTCTTATTATTGGTCAAATTAACGTGAACTCATCAGCCTTTCAGGATCATAACAACCAATCAAGACTTCACAAATGTGTGTCACATGATGAAATGTCACTGCAGATCGCTGAGCAGACCCAATGCTTGAAAGTCGAGGCCATCTCTTGCGCAACTGCTCACCAATGGAAGCAGAGACGTCCACACGTAAGCAATTCGGTTGCACGCAAACAACACTTGAGACTGACCGCTAAGCTGTGGATCAGGATTCACAGACCCCAGGGACACGTGCGGTTGAACGAGCAGCCACGGGCCGGCACGGCGCTCGACCTGTGCACGTCGTGTGTACCTGAGCTATCTGCTGGCGGATCCGATCCTTGGCAGCGCGCTCCTCCGCCTTCTCGCGGTTCCTCTCATCCATCACTCGCTTGGCCTGCTCCTCCTCCTTCCGCTGCTTAAACTCCGTCATGTCCTTGCCCAACTTGCGGCGCTCGACTTCCCGCCGGATGTTGCTCTGGAAGATAAAAAGCCACAGAGAGGCCGATTCGGGACGAGGTCTACGGAGCCGTGCGAGGGTTGCTGGCGTAAAATAAAAAATCGCGGGCACCAAGTCGGCAATAGGCAGAACGGTATTTTCCAGCAACTGTGCTATTAACCTGAGCCAAGGCGAACATCAGAAGCAAGTGAAATCTGAACTGATCGTAGACGTCCACCTTTACCACCGACTAGTAGTATTTTTTATTTTAACAGGTAAGGCCCACACCAAGTTATCTTGTCATTCACAAGGGCAGGCCATTTGCGTGCCAGCTAGGAACAGCTGTCACTGGGGGCTTCGAGGTTCCTATTTCAAATGTGTTGAGACGAGACGCAAAGCGCTCCGGAAATGCCCCCTGGCATACATGGGGCTAATATCAAAAACATAATCATCATTATCGTTCTGTACTATGCCCCCACATCCATTAAAAACTATTTTTAAAAAATTATTTTACCAGATAAGGCCCACTGAGCGATGTAGCTCTTTTGTCAGAAGCGACCTGGCCACAAATGACGGTTGAACGGTGTGGCTTATCATGTAGACATAAAAATCAGCCAAATACTCTAAACGCACGTTGATTCTAACTGTGGAGGGAAAACCAGAGGGCCCAAAGTAGAATCCACGTGACCACGGGGCGAGAAACATGCAAACTCCAAACATACAGGCGTCAGGGTTTGGATCGAACCCACGATCTCCTGTATACCAGGCGAGGTAGTTAACGTCTCATCACCGTGGTTCCCGCCTGCACTGATCCAACACGGTAAAGTATGAGCAAACAACCCCCAAAACCAAACAACAACCTTGTTGAGACGTGTTCATGCAGTTGTGTATTGATAATGGGCTCTAAACTATGTAAAATATAAGTAATTTAAACTGCCAACTTTTTGGGAGTATTTTTTAAACCAAATATTGGCAACAAAAAGGTGGTTTCCACCAACACATGATTTGCGCCTTAATATTTGTATGCTCATGTTGTCAAATCATACCTGCAGCTTTGTCCGTCAGAAATAACCAAAATGCGCCATCTGCTGGAATGTATGAAACTCTGACATCATTTGAAACTGTCCTGACATGAATGTCCCACACAGAAGTTTCAACCTATAAAGTGTAAAATAAAACCGAAAGCTGTTCCTACATGATGCTATTATATTCTTGTGTATGGCAATATGTTCAGGAGCCAAATGGCAATGTCGAGGCCTGCTGGTAATAGCGAGAGGGCTTCAGCAGAGGTTGTGTAGTTTTGTAATTCGTCACTTGAGGGAGCACAGACTACAGTGTTGAATACTTGAGTCTCCTTCAGCAAAGGAGAAAATAACAAGCTATGAAGCGGGTCCGTACGTTACAACAATAAACAATACAACAAACATGACAGGAGTGCCAAGTATAGGAAAACGATCTAAGATCATGCCCACAGAGGTCCATTGTTCTCAGCTACAGAAACACATTAACAAAGTTTCACCATCTACTTGAAATTACCAATGTGTGATCTCTGAATACATGCAAATACATCACCAATAAGTTTGTCTTTGCAAGAAATTTTCTATTGCTATTTAGGTTTGCACAGTTATGCTGATGTGCTTTTGAGTTGGTACTGCTTGTTGTTCATCAGCACGACGTCCGAAATTAATCGAATTCAGTTTCTTAATGCCGAACAGCAGTGTAACACGCTGTACCTAATCGTTGGTGCCACAGCCAAAGGAATGCTGATCAAAAGGCAGTGTTCATTGATGCATGTGTTTAAGTTTTTAATTGTTTGTGCACCCTTGCCTAATGTAAAACTCAATGAAATATGTTATGTTCACTTTCAAACTCCAAAAATGCAGGCGTCAGGATCGGGATCAAACCCACGACCTCCTGCACACCAGTCGAGGAAGATGACGTCTCACCACCGTGGCGCCCCCTTAAGAAGGACTCAATCCAGGGAGAACTGTTGGCAGAGCCATCACACCGTCTCTCTGACAAGCTTAAAAATATCACGTTGGTTACCTCCTCCTCTTCTTTAGCCTTCTGTTGCCGCTTCTCTTCCAGCTTGCGGTTGAGCCTGAAAACAGGGGGTGAAGGAATGCAGGGGTCATTGAATGGACACAGGGGTGAATGAACACGGAGGTGAATGAACACGACCCGCACGAGTGAATCACAGGCAATTAATTATACAGTAAATGATAGTGCAAGCTCTTGACTGGTGCACGCAGAAGCTCACGTGACGTATTTGGGGAGTTCATTGCAATCCTCGAGAGCTGTGACAGTGTGCAATTAAATAAAGAGCACCCAATTGAAAGATATTCATAGTTCACAGCAGCATGGGAATAAGAATTATCTTGCGAGCACTACCAAAGTAAACATATACTTATTGGCCACTTGGGACTGAGTAAATGATGGCAATGCTCATGATGTGATAAAAGTGGAAGAGAGGTAACATTTGTAATACAGTTGACTGTTTATAACTGAAAATACGTAAAACCTAAACGTTTTATTTTTCGCACCTAAAATTTGTCATTCAAAATGTTTAAACGTTCACATTGATTAACTAAGGGCTATTAACCTTTCAAAAAAGCATTTGGAGATTTTCAGAAGTACTGAAATCAAGTATGACATAAGATTATCAAGAAAACATTTATTTCGTTTTGGGCCCATAAACTAAGGGAGCTAATTTGGCAATTCTGTTTTTGAACCTTGAGTTTTTTTTTTATCCAGAGGCTTTGAACGGCTTTGAACGGCTTTGAAGCCAGATACAAGCATCTGCTTAAGTGCCACAATTGCAGCCAATTTACAGGTGGCAGCATTAAAGCAATTGTGAACCTGTACCGCAGGTCGGTGTAAAATGAATGCTTTAGGTACACATGTTTGAATCAACAGCAGCTAACATGTCTTGCCACTTGTACTAGGACTTGCTAAACTGAAACAATTGTCCAGTGCTTCTCAAACGCAAAACCATATTTAAAACACCTCTGCTCTGATTCTCGTGATACGAGAACGGACACACGTGGATTGTGAACGAGATGAATTGAAATCCGAAAAAACCCCGACATTCGTGCGCAACAATGTAATGCCACCAATGTGGATTCTGTATTAGTCTTAATGCCCAAGAACGGTTGGTCAAATTAATTTAGGAATTCAGCCCTTGGGCAATGACAATTATATGATGCATTGATTGAAATTGTAGGTGGTGCCACAAAGGACCAGGGAGTCACACTGGAAAGCAACCTTGACCATACACTTTCATTCAACTGCGACTGGCAAGGCAGCCACTTCTAATTTTCACTTCACTTTCTCTCTGCCTTGAAATTAGAACAGCTCACAAAATAAATACTCAAAACTCTATATTGATCGATATGCTTGATATGAATTTTCACTTCACTTTCTCTCTGCCTTGAAATTAGGACAGCTCACAAAATAAATACTCAAAACTCTATATTGACCGATATGCTTGATATGAATTTTCACTTCACTTTCTCTCTGCCTTGAAATTAGAACAGCTCACAAAATGAATCAAAACTCTATATTGACCGATATGCTTGATATGAATTTAATTTCCGTGAACTTATGGTGTGATTGGTGTTGTTTATCAACATTGTTCTCAGGAATAATCAGATTTAACAAGAATTATGTTTAGGCGGCATGGTACCGCTAAAATTAAGCAATCACTAGAATATGCCGAGAAGTTAAATTAATTGGCAATATACATCCAAGAAGCACTGCATTATTGACAACTGTGGTGTCGGATGTACAGGGTCTCGAGCATGAAACAATAAATGTACATTCAACATTATTTCTTGAAACGCTATAAATGGCAGGAGCGTGCATGTGCCGTGTGGGTATAACAGATAGAGATTTCCTCCATCAGAGGATTCCAGAACACTGGCCCAAAAACGACTGAAACTTTTCCTGCATTAAAACACTGGCGCATCCCACATGCAAAACTGGCATGATGTTAACTTGGTTGTGGATGTCCTAATGATAAGACCCGCTCCTCACCATGGGAATAAGGAATTTTCACCACTGCCTCTGGGCTGTTAACAGATGAGCCCCGAAACCCCACAACCTACTTGCTGTGCTGCCACCCAGACACCAAAATTGTACGCACTCCCAGTGACATCCACAAGATAGGTTTTGACCAGTTCATTTTTATTTAATGAAATCCTGCAACCTTTATTGGTTAATAAGACAAAAAAACGGTATTGACAATGTATATATGTTTAAGGACAATCGCTTATCAATTATAGACTAAATGCTACCTAACATTTATTCCACAAACTTGTGATACTGTCTTTTGAGCAGAAGTTATTTAATTATCATTAAAAAAATTGGAATGCTCAATCTGGAATTTAAATGGGATTTTATTTTATTAAATACTAGCTAAACTACCCGGCTTCGCCCGGGACTTGGATTCACCCGGGACTTGGATTCACCCGGGACTTGGATTCACCCGGGACTTGGATTCACCCGGGACTTGGATTCACCCGGGACTTGGATTCACCACGCCCAGGCCGCCTTTGATTTAATTATGGAAATGTCCATGGTTAGTTAATTTTTCATATATATGCTAATATTATGAGTATACTCAAAGATCACCCAAAATGCACTTGATTCCCATCAGATCTCAGAAGCCAACTAAGGCATGATTCTGAAAAGTTACTGCATCGTGCTTGGATGGGCAACCACCATGCAGAGACAGTGCAGTCGGCTGCTGTGGGCTGCATCGCGAGTAGAGGGCAATGCAGCAAACATCCACCGCAAATCCAATTGAGCCGTAACAGGACCCAAGGGGTGGCAGAATCACAGCTTGTTGGAAAGGCTCATGGGTCAAATCCAGCAACTGCCCTGGTTATTACTGTGGGTGTAATAGTCGTGAAAATACTACGCGCCATCTGCTTCACAGTGTACGTTAAAATCCTGCCAAGTCATTCGCAAGGGTAGGCCCATGGCGTGCCAGTGTAAATGGTCCAAATTTCACAAATTTAAAATACTACCTGCAAATTAATAAATTGGGATAATGCATTGTCCAATCATCGCTTCATACCGTGCAAACTTGGCAGGACCCTCCTACAAAGGTCATCAGACTCTTTAAGATTTTGCTGGATAAAGCATAATCATGCTGTACAACCAGACCTCCCTCAGCGTTAGGGAGCATAAACTCTCGTCAAGGAGCATAAACCATCACGCAAACTCCGGTCGTCCTCACAGCGTCTTTTGGCTCGCCATAGAACAAAGACGGTTACTGCATCGTGTACTTTCAGATGCGCCTATGCGGCCGTCTGGAACACTCTTTCTTCCGATATTAAGAAGCCACTGGAGCTATGCACTTTCAAATCAAGACTGAAAACTAATTTCTTTAGAACTGCTTTTTGTGTTTAGTTTGTTGTCCTTCCCCACACCTCTGATTAGCATGGTTGGCTGTGTACGGTGCAAAAGAAGTTCAACATACACATGCACTCAAGATGTGTTCCTGGGAAAGTGATTACTAATCATCATTTTATATTTAATCCGGCCAGGGCTTACGATGGTACAAATCACTTTTCAACAGACACATTGATGAACGCAGTATACACATTACACATCACAATTGTACGGTAATACTGTACATAAAAACAAGTCTTGTCAATCTTGCCTAAGGTGCACCTCTGCGAGAGATTATGAAATATTTCACGAGTGTTGTGACCTAACATTTTCTCCGCAGCAATGCGTAGCCAGCTACACAATAAATATACCGATCACGTTGCCATGATCACCAACGCATACAATTGTCTATGACATCATACATCGCGCCTAATTGTACATGGCCAGTTACGTTACTTTCTCGCATTGAGTACAACTATTATTACCAGCATTGATAAGGAAGTTGCAGTCAATGCTTCATCAGTAATTTTTTCACATCACCATTTTACCTGAATAAAAAAAAATACCGACCCTTTCAAAAGGAATCGTGAATGGTAACTCTATTGCCCATGACTTTTAGTGTCATTTCGGTCAATGGGTTTGAAGAAACTCGTGCCAAGTTTGGAATATTGCCTCTGATGGGTGACCAACTCATTTAAATCAATGGAGAACATTAGCTCCACAGGCAATGACTTTTGTGTCATTATAGTCGATGAGTGAGAAATCCCTCATCGCAATGGGAGAATTGCCATCTAGCGTCCACCGATTGACATAGCAACATTGCCACCACCGTGGATGAGAATCAATCCGATAAGACAAATTAAATCTCCTTTTTTACAAACCCATTGGACCTGGATGAAGAATACATCACCTGTAAAGACAATCTTGACATTGACAGCCCCAGGAAAAGATACGTGGAGACCATCCATTTTCAAAGAAATAAAAATGTCAGTTTGTGTAGAGAATGTATGACATACGCTAAGAACATCATATGTCTTTGTAGATTGAATGTGGAAATTGGCATGGATAAAGTGAATATATAGGTAGATAAATTAGCAACAAAAAACTATAGGCACAAGCCAATAAACTTTCATTTCCAGAATTATAACCCCATCTTAGTATGCCTTAGTTTTAAGTGAGAAAAGATAATTGCGTTCCAAGTTATTTTTGTCTCAGATTTTTGGAAATTATCCATTGCAGTCAGTTTTGTTCAAGTGTCAAACCATAACTGTACATCTCTATATATAAATAAGCCCTATTTTCTAAAACAATACATTATCACCTTCATGTCATCCTATAATTATTACAAGGATGGAGTTGAAAGTATAAAAAGTGAGGTTGTCTAATTTGCGGAACTGCACAAACACTATTAAAAACAGACAGATGTGCAGATAGTACAAAGCTTCAACTGAAAAAAATATTGATCATATGGATCAGCATATTTTTTTTTCATAAAATATACATTGGCAAGTCACTATGCTGACAAATTTACTGCAGCACAGTTTCAATATTGTGAGGATAAGTACAAGGTACATCTTTGTATAATACACAGTGTTCTGCTAATGCAGTCACTAATTAAGCTTGCACTATAGTTCCTACGGTTATAGTCAGCCTGCTGTGGAGGTGAAGATCAAGACGGCCGCGTGGTGGTGGTTAAGACCATGGTGACCCAGTCCAGCTGGGCGGTACAGTGTACGCAACCTCTCCTGTGCCAAGCAACGTCACGGGCGCTAAGCTTGGAGCACAGGGTGCGACTGTTGTTTGTGATGTTCCAGTATCGTCCCCAAACAATTCAGCTGCCACGTGGAGCTGTGTTCTGCCCTCTTTGGTCAGATCAATTATGTCATCCCGAAGCCTTTTAATCACTGCCATCCTGTCGGCGTTCTGAAGAATGGGCTGTTGCTTGAGAAAGAGCAAAAGATTTTCAACTGACTGCACGGCAATCGAGTGGCTCACCATAATCGTCCCAACAGATTCTTCGGTTTTCTTGTTGCTACCACCACCGCAGCCCTCATTCGGAATGCTCATACTTGCTGTCAAGGAATGGGCTGTTCTGTTGCCACCACTGTCCGCTCTATCCGCTAACTTGATCCACTCTTCCACACTGGCATATTTCACTTCTTCGCAACCGGGCAGCGAGCGCAAAACCTCGAGAAACTCCACCGTAGCTTCATACAACTCCTTCATCCCAACGGGTCCAGCTGCGCGCGGTGGCGAGGATGCTCGATGCTCATCCTCCACACTCGATGCCAGGATGCTTGGCCACAGCTTCATCCAGCTACGAATGAGAAGCTCCTTCGGGACCGATTCCCACGCATCTGCCACTAAGTACAGGCAATCACGAGCCGCGAGGCCCCTCCAGAAGCTCAGCAGGCTCCAAGCGCCTCCCTCGACAGCGTCTGAAAACAGAAGCTTGTGTAGCAGTTCACGGTGGAAGCCTCTCTTGAGCGACCCCAGCACATCCTGGTCCATGGGCTGCAGCAGCGACGCAATGCTTGGAGGCATGAACAGCGCCGTGAACCGCCCGTCGTCAGTGCAGAGGACGTGCTCGTTCGGCATCGCGAGAGAGCTGTCCACCAGGATGACGCCTCGCTGGGGCAGGTGCAGCTCTCGCAGGGCCTCGGACACGGCCGGGACAAATCTCTCGAAGAACCAGGAGTGGAAGAGTGGTGGATCCATGCGGCCGTCTGCCTGGCTGTAGTAGTGCGCTGGCAGAAGGTCTAGCACCGAGTTCTTGAGCGAACGCGGCCTGGCTGCTTTGCCCACGCATACGATCTTCATCTTGTGCGTCCCACTCGCATTGGCGCACGCAAACACGGCTATCCTCTCCCTGCCAGTCTCACGGCCCTGTGTGTGCGATGCCGATTCCATGGCCAGAGCTCCGCGAGGAAGTGTCTTCCAGGCCAAGACCGTCTGGGCAGCGTTGTAAACCTGAGTGGGGCAGAGACCCTCTTTCCTGACATGCGCCCGGAACTTCAGTTGTAATGACCGTGCTGAGTGTGCTTCGGCTGCGAGAAGGCCTGCCTGAAGGCCTGATCGCCGGATGCCATGGCGCAGCTTGAAGCGCTGTAGCCATCCCTGGCTGGCGTTGAAATTGGCGTTGCTGTAGAGCGCGCGTGCAAACTCGCGCGCCTTCTCGCAGAGCATTGGTCCGCTCACTGTGTGCCCGCGTGCGCGCTTGTTCAAGTACCAGCGGTGCAGAGCTTCATCCAGCTTCACGTCCTTGGCCATACGCATGGTCTTGCGAATCGCCACGGTGACTTCGCAGTCATTCTCAGAGACAAACTTCAGGATCTTGTCGGCGTTTATCTTGAGGTCCCTGATGGTCGAGTAGCCGAGGTCATACTGGGTCGCGAGAGACTTTAACGACTCCCCCTTGCGGATCTTGCGGACGATTTCGACTTTCTCCTTCAGAGGCAGAACGCTGCGCTTTCTCTTGGTTCCTTTGCAGGAACTTGGTGGTGGCACGCGTGTGGCAGACATGACGACTACAGGCGTACTGTGTGTACCACACAAAGGAAACACACAATAGCGGCGCATGAGCTTACGCGTCACGCTCCGCCGTGAAGTATATATATATGCGTGTACGTATGTTGAACTTCTTTCGCACCGTACATAGTCATCCGTGCTAACTGGAGGTGCGGAGGCAGTGGTGCTGCTTTCAGGGAGTGGACTGCGTGGCATGTGTCGGCGCAACACGTAACGATGTGAAAACTTGTCGCCCAGCAGCTAAAGTTACACCGCAGCACTGATTTGCCCTTAACCATTTTAGAGTCTCAAAATATTAAGCAACTACAGCTTTGCTTTACAAAGACAAAAGTGAGTCATTAGTTATTCACTACTGATAAAGTTGCTCATTAATACAGTTAAGGTATGAAGATGGTGAAGAACCTACCTGTTAGTGCTAAGACAAATCATTGATTAAATTATTATTTTTATTATAAGTAATGGGTTCATCAGCAGGCAGCCATTTTTACATGCTGAACACTGGGAAATCCCGTCTAGAAAACATGCGCGGGGTGACGCAGTGATGAAGCTTAATGACAAAGGGGAAGAAAATACTATCGTAAGATTTCCCATTAAATCCTGTGCTTAACATAAACGTGAATGTTGCTTATGCAAATCACATTCAAATTGCAGGCTCATAAAAAAATCGATTAATCAAAGCAGTAATCGATAGGTAAAAAATATTCCTGCCTGGGTGCTCCAGCGCAAAATTTTACCAAATCCAGGTGACCTAGGGAAATACCAGTAGCAATCATGCTATCAAAACAGAACGTTTAAATACACAAATAAGCATTACAATGCTGTAAATAAGGTACGTGTAAAATGATAAGGTACGTGTAAAATGATACGGTACGTGTAAAATAAGAGAAACATATTACGTGGCTTCTTAAAGACCGATAAAAACAATATCATTAAGCAACCACATGTAAAAATACAACCTGCAATTTCACCATCATTAACGTGTTGCCAAGATGACATCAATCAAAAACTGTGTCGCACAAGAGTTCTGTTGCAGAGCCAAACACCCGCTAATTCTCCTTAGGTTAGAACCCATATTAAACAGAGCCAAAGCACGTAAACACTGTGGTTGGCAACGTTATTGCCGAAAAGTTGAGCCATTTGACTTTATCTTGAGATAACAAAAAAATATGAATACCCTAACAGAAACAAACACCGCATAGACAGAGGAAACCAAGGATCACACACACGTGGTGCATCCAAGCGGATCATGCGAAATGTATGGATGAGGGTCACAAGCACAGTGAGCGCTGAGAAAAATTGGCTTCTGGCAGCCAGAACAGAAAGAGTGATGTTATATATGATCAAGATCCAGATAACCGCACTTTGTTTATGCATGTATCATTTTGCAACGGGTTGCATGCATTATTCTGTTAAATGGTGCATATGGTATTTTGAAGAATGCTGCTTATATTACGCATACTGAGACAAAGACATGAATAATCTTTTAATATTCAAGCCTTGAGCAGTGCTCATCTCCTTGGGCAGACTTTAGCGAGTGGTGGTAATTCCACATTTGGAGAATGGCAGCATGTCTCGTCATCCAACTAGCACTCGTTGACTCCCCAGAAAGTGTCACTCATTTACTCGATCCTGGAAGGAGATGAGCGTACAAACCACTTAAGTGATGCCTGGGGTAACAATGCCTTCGTGCTGTGAATAAACGCAGAGGATCCAGAGCTCCTTACCTCTCCACTCGTGCTGCCTTCTCCTCCTCCGAGAGCGGCAACCCATGTTCCTCCATCAGCTCCTGCGTGCCTCCATCGCTGCTGCCATCCAGCACGTGCGTCGATGCTGTGGTTTCAATCATGAACCAATATTAGTTGTCACCATAACTATACCATATATGTACACGTGGTGCGTATATGTAAAGTAGTAACTCGGCAGGAGACGACTTCACGGGTTGCACACTCTTTATTTTCACCAACTTGTAGTTACACGGATGACTAACACCCACTTCGTTACACGGGTGACTAACACCCACTTAGCTACTCGGGTGACTCACACCCACTCAGCTACACGGGTGACTAACACCCACTTCGTTACACGGGTGACTAACACCCACTTAGCTACTCGGGTGACTCACACCCACTCAGCTACACGGGTGACTAACACCCACTCAGCTACACGGGTGACAAACACCCACTCAGCTATACTGACACGGGCTCTTACGCCCCGTAGCCTTCCGGGACACACCCAGCCGGGGGTGCCCGTCTCGGCTCTGGGTACCACCGTCCCGACCCACACGGGCGTCGGACTACGGGTCCCCCAGTCTCGGCTCCGAGCCACACAGGGCCCCGGTCCTCACAAGGACGGCGGGACTAGGGGTCTCGGGCCACTACCTCCTCCACCCCGTCTTCGGTCTTCAACTGGTTAACACTGACCACGAGTGCTCTCGCGCGTCCCCCTTTATACCCCTCCTGCGGACGTCGCTGAGAGCACCCATCTAATCTGACCAATCACTGCGCACTCGCTACGATCCTCTTTTCCCAGCTTGTGTCAGCGCGCCTTACCACCGGCGCGCGCGTCCATACCACGCCCACATCGCGTGCCCAACCCCGCGCCCCGTGATCCATCACTGTCGGCGCACGTCAATACCACAGCAGGTAGTTATAGGTTTTGAGGCCATGTGGTGAGTAGCAGGTCAGTGCAATCTGTGGAGATAAGCGCGAGCTGGGAGGACCCAAAGTTGCACAAGCTTTCAAAAGTGTGGGTCGCCATAAAGGTGCAAAACTGCCAGGTGAGACTGTCCCAATCCTATTTATTATTCAAGTTCTTTATGCAGCAATTGCATGGAAATAAAGGTTAAGCATATTCTAAGTTGAGTAAAATGTGGCACTAAAGCATTTGAACAACAATCAGCAACGGAATCGTTGTCATAGGTTTGGTATATGCGCAGGACGGAGAAACAGCTGGTTACCAAAGCAGACAATGGAGTGGGCACCGGCGATCAGTCAAAGACGAAGCCAAATATTGGCGATAATACAGACGTACGAGGGCCAGGTATTGACTACACGACAGCCGCGGGATCTGGCAGGAAGAAGGGACTCAATGGCGAGGTGTGGTGGTGTGGCATCAATGGCGCAAGGGCGTGAGGACCTGACTTACTGGAGGGTTGTGGTGCACTGGCGGAAGCCACAGCGGCCGCACCCCCAACAGCACCCTTCTCTACGTGCATCTGGGAGGGAAGACACGGCAGCATGGGCAACACATGTTTCGTGGAAGATATAGCTCAGTCAAGAGATTCGAATATGAGGTGGTGGTGCGGCTGAAGAGTCCATGCTGAAGTAATCCCATCTGAAAATCCATTACTCGGCATTTTGGAACTTAATTGAACTGTGGCGATTTGTGTTTTCAAAGCGTGTGCCAGAAAATCAGTGTGCTGGTTCACATTGACCAATGGGGGCATAGCTCAATGTCCAATTGCAGTCCTTAATCCAGTGATGCCAATTCTATATTTCTATGCTATTGATCATTCCTGAGAATGACCGTTGTCACTTCACACAAAGTGGCTTGATTTTCTCAATCCTTGGCAAATGATGGGCATAGTCCACCACCAACTAGTGGGTGGACTAATGAACGAAGTGCTTCAACAACAGCACTTCCCAGCTAGACCATGGGACATCACGTATTGCCACAAATGGGCACGATCCCACTCACCTGCTTGACATGGGCAATCTTGGCAAGCAGCTCCTGGGCGGAGAGGCTTCCCCTGATCACCTCCAGCGGCACGCCGCTCTCCCCGATGAAGTAGCTGGATGGTACGCCTGATAAAGGGTCTGGATACGGTGTGTTCAGAATAACAAGGAACTTCGATCTTTGGTGCTTGGACTCACACTCAAACCAAATATGACTTTAAATTGTCCTTACCAAATCGGCTATTGATCTCTTGTTATTTCAATTCCAAAGTTAACCTTAGATAAATAAACTGTTGGTTTTAGAATGTGTTATTTTTCAAATTTATGTAAAAGTCATTGTCTAGTCAAACGGTGTGCCCCTACTCACACAACTGTGGGGCATAGCTCAACTATGTTGACAGTTGTAAACCAGTCAAGAAATTTGACCATTGCTCTGGTGGGGGAAAAGCCTCTTCGTAGGGGGACATCCTACAAAATGGTGCCCATTTTATTGACCCAAAATAAATTATGTTGAGCAGGATATGAGCTCGCAACCTTTCTACTGTGAGTTGAACACTCCAACAAAGCATAGCATTCCCAAATAAACACCAATTGTTTACCATGACAATGCCTGGCTTAACAATAAGCAATGATAAATTACACAGCCACTAGGCAGCATGGAGAACAGAGATAAGAGTGTTTAGCAACTGCTCTTATAGTCCGCTCTTCACACACAAGCAGATGTGTGTTTCAGTGATGCCTCTGGTTGCCTGCCATTTTATGAATGCATGCTATCTCAGCAACACGTTGAAAATGTATTCGAGGAATTAGCATGGAAACAAATATTAAAGATCCTGTGAAATCATTTGTAAGAGTAAGAACTAATTACGAGTGTAGGGGGTCAATATTTTCACATTCATTTCAAACCCACTGTGATTAATTCATAAGTTACACCTTCCAACCCATAAATGTGAAAAGCGTTTTAATACACAATGGCCGGTACACATTATCTGTGTGCGGAATTGGGTTAATATTCTAAGGCAACTGCACGTCACATTCTTATTGGAACTTGTCTTGTCAAAGGACAGCCACTTTTTCAACAGTTTTACTTAACTTGATTCCTCTGTTTGTCATGGTCAAATCTTGAAATAAAATTTCGTCCACTTCCAATCAATTTCACATTTTGCACACGTACTCAGATCCGGTGAGAATGCATGCCTGTATCAAAATCGGCATCAATTAATTCGCTACTTTAAAGTAATTTACATTTTGTATGGACGCCTTATTATTTATATATTTGTGTAGGTCAAAAACGTTACGGTCCCTAAACTGTGGAATCGGCTCGCACAAGAAGCAGGCGCCGCGTGTCTCAGGCGCCATTGGCGTACTTCTCGACGGTGAGTTCAACGGAGTTGTTAATAAAACCTTTGTTTAAAAAAAACACAATATAATGCTTAAGTTTTAATACGGGAAGATTCACATAAAAAATTTACTGCAATTTTTGCTAAAAAATCTTTACATCTGTCTTCCAGTAAAAAAAAGTCAAGTCAAACTGACGAACAATTAGGCATTGTTGACTTCCAATGGTGCCTCTGAGTTAAGTGATAGGCATTCCACATTACTATGGAAGGGGCCTGTATATTTTTAGGATGACAGATGATGTTCCACAGTAGTCCTCAATAGTTTGTACAACAGAGAATATTTGTATAACAAGCTGATTCCACTTAGCCTGCAAAGCCCACTGATAAGTAGACAAATAATATTATTTTAAATGGGTTTGTGCGACAATATTACTGTAAATTTATTTACATTAACATGCCAGTCAAACTTGCTGATTACTTTACACGTTACCTTAGAAGGCCCGTCAGATAACACGTAAAAGGAGTTTAATTTTGTGGTAAAAAAGTATTTATATCATTACAATTAAAATACCAAAGGTCAATATTTGGTTTGCGTATTTGCCATAACAATTATTGTGTGAATAGGTCATGACATTAAATTGCTTGTGCAGAGCGGAAAATGTCCCAGAAAGGATACAAATCTGTGAAAACTGCATGCAGGGTTCACTGTAAAGACACAAAGTGAAAATATTAGATGCACAGCATTCTTTCAGAAATATCAAACATCTTTTTCATGTTGATTTCTCACAAAGTGGCAACTATTTTATTAGACCGGAGTGATGATGGGCTGAGCAGTGGCTCACCCAAGATTTAAGCGCATAACCTTCCGAATGCAAGTCAAGCGTTCCAACCACAGCGTCACCTCAATGGTTAAGTATTATGCGTTTCTCATGTGATTTTATACGAGCTTAATTAGATTTCGATTTAAAGCTTTCGTGACTGCAGGGATTCATCTTCTTGGTTCTTTCGGTATTTTATATAATATATTATATATTTTATTGTTTTATTTGATTATTTTTATTGTTTCCATTCTACGTGACTTTACCGAAAGAACCAAGAAGAGCTTAATTAGCTTCTAGCATTTGTTGCCTGCCATTCCCCTAGTATCCTCAAATAAACTAGATATTCTGCATAGTACATTTGTAACAGGTCATCATGGCATTGCTGTTGATGTCACCATACCTCGCCTTTGATTCCGTCTACCAAACACAATTGGATGGTAAAAAAAGTCCGTTCTTGCTATGCCTCGCCAACTGGATTTAAAGCTTCCCATTGGCCGATGACCCTTCAGTATCACTTCAATGACGTTTTCAATTTTTTCCTGCCATATCATATTCTGAACATCCAAGTGACTTGCTTTTAAAATGCCATGACATTTCCAACTCACCTGAAAAACCAACACATAGCAACGTGTTCTCACCTGGCAGCTTGCAGCTTTATGGCCACGCATGCCTGGCCAGCTGCCTCAGTAACTTCTGGGTCCTCCCAGCTCGCACTCATCGCCACAGATTCCTCATCATCACCTGTGGGGATCATCATCATTGAAAATCAGAACAGCCTTTTATTTTCTGTCAGATATAGTGAACTAATGTTCATTGTAGTACCCGTATAAAGTTGGGCTGAGTGCCTATTGTGTGGCACTTTCTATCCTCGTTGATTACAGGATAGCAAGTGGCTTTCTGACCAGACATACTGATGTACCAGTAATACTGGTAGGAACCTCCTGGTTACACCAGCCCACAGGGGATTATTGTGTCCGTCGTGCAGGGAGGGACTGGGTGGGGAGGGTGGGGCTGGGTGGGGGGTGGAAGGGGTGGGGCTGGGTGGGGAGGGGCTGGTCACCCCGTGGTGCCCTTAAAAAACTCAACGTTTAACCTACTCACGCCGGCTTGTGCCCGCCCTCACAGTCGGCCATATTTGCGGAATACACCACGCCGCCATTGACCCTGGCCATTGACCGAGCAAACTCAACGTTCCTACCAGCTCCCTCCGCAGGAATGTGTTTTCACGTACAAATAGTACTACTTGATGAAAATCTGACTGTGTTGTGTCCGTCACGGGAGTTGTTTGCCCATACTTCACCACTCTCGTCAGTGCAGCTTGACGAAGGGGAGGGGGGGGGGAAGGTCAGATCAGGTTCACATGTCACTCGCTCTGACGTTAGCGATGGCTGGGAATCAAATTCAGGCCACTGGGTGCATCGCGCACTGTGCTAATCAGTACACCAAAGCGACTCCACATGTCTCATAAAACACTCTTGATGAAGAGTGCTCAGGCATAAAATCGCTTGACACTACAACTCATACAAGCATTAAACAATTGCTGAAGCCAGACTTAAAAAATATTAATTACACATGAAACAATAAAATATGGGTATCCTTTTCAATTATTACCGAGTCATAACACACCTGCAAACATCGTATAACAACATGACTCTCTGATATACTGCACTAATAAGATGTTTACTTTATCTTGAGTCTAATAAGCTGCAGCAAGAGACTTGGTGGGTACAGACTTTGCTTTTTTTATTGCACTTTAATTTATTTTCCACATTTTTTTTTAATGACACATCTCCCAGTTATAAGATGCAAATCACCTACTCGGCTCCTCTTTGTGGTGAGATTTTGCCATCCAACTAGATACGAGATCATCACTATATACATACCATTCCATTATTTTAATTCGGGGATCACCACAAAGGAATAGAGGTTGTGAGTCAACAATATATTTAAAGAGTTTTGCATTACGTCCTATGTGAAAGTGTCTGTATTGTTCGATGGCGATGTTTAATTTCCATCACTTTCTCATGGCTAGAAGCAGACCCAATTGTTCACGAGTAAGACAATACACAAACCCCTATACATGTGCTGTTTATTAACGATCTCCAATCACTTGCATCGTGATATACGGATGATAATTGGAGTGCACTGAACACAGGTTTGTATTGAGCTCAGGCTGAAATACAAAGGGTTTTTTTTACGATAAAGTTGTGCCCAAACAGTAACGACTAAAATAATAGAAGCCGGATACATATAAAATTAATGAGGCCTTTCATTTCAATTACGTCACACCTGCGTGCGACAATACACCTTACTTTACTGGTTGTGACATCTCTTGGGTGTTTGTGTTTGGGGGGGGGGGGGTTAATTTTATGCTTTTTTTGAGCAAGTTCACATCTTTCTCTTGTCTACAACTTTCCTTGCTTCAATAAATTTAGTCAACTCTCAATGATCTATAAAAATAAAGGAAGGGTGGGCCTGGATCAAACAAAGAAAATATATTCTAGATTTGAAGCTTTTGTGACTGCAAGGATTCATATTCTTAGGTTTTTTCGGTAAAGTCACATAGGTAAAACATCAAAATAAAAAAAAAAGATCACGACGTTTCGGAGGCAACACAAGTCTCCGTCATCAGGTGGGACCGTCACAGCCAGATTAGCTGCATCAAGTGAGGCAAGATTACATCTTGAATCATTGCCTCACTTGATGCAGCTAATCTGGCTGTGACGGTCCCACCTGATGACGGAGACTTGTGTTGCCTCCGAAACGTCGTGATCTTTATTTTATTTTTTATTAATTTTGATGTTTTACCTACGTGACTTTACCGAAAAAACCTAAGAATATAAAGAAAATATAAGTAAATCAGGCGATAACAATATGTATGCCATGGCTTACCTACGTGAAATGGGGGTGAAAATGTAAACCGTTTTCTGCTTTTATTGCTGCATAAAATAATATCATCGACTAACCAAGGTGGTTGTGGTCACGTGGGTATTGAGTCACTGATTATTGACAGATGAGGAGCAGCGATTAAACCAGCATGCATATACATTTTTTTCAACGGTGAATCCACAACAAAGATATCCACCTATGAATAATCGATAATTAACTGTGTTCATGAAATGTGTTCACCCACCCCTACTGGACATGTGGTAAAAAAACTGCTTCATAGCTCATCGCATTTCTCCAGGATAAATACTAATTGATTCATGAACTTTGTCCACATCGGACTACATCTTTCTCGAACATCACTGCATTTATTAAATATGTTTGTAGCCGACATTCTTAAATCATGTTTATGCTTTGTGAACAAATATTCTTTCACAGCATCAGCTCTATCTCTTAAAGGCATCTCTATGCAAGCTCTAACTGCACCGAGTCGTTAATTTAAACAAAATGCCACGTGACAAAAAAACCCACCACCAATTAACATTAACATCGATTTCACTTATAAGTAAAAAACTAAAGTTATGATATATAACGGTATTTTCTTTGTACCCCTTTTTCTGACATGGCCAGACAAGACGGCTATTGATCTTGGCATTGTGGAAGTTATACAATTAACACCAGGGCAATATAATCACCATGTTGCACAAATGCACAATTGTGAAATGAGACATAAATAATGACGAAACATGCTAACAGTCATAATTGTATTTAAAATTTCAATGACACATTCGCAGACAGCAGCTGCATGGTGTTTGTGCTACCAGTGGCATGTGCTAGTTATATATAGCTGAACTGAGTACACGTGAATCATTCGTGTATCATGCAGGGAAGCTTACACTTAATATTATGTGGCCTGAAGTAGCTGATGTTTAAATTAATTTGGATACGGAGTTTGTCCCATCCAAGAAACATCGGCTTATGATTTAGCCATGCAAGCTGGTGACAACTGCCATCTCAACCTATCCTACGCTTCCCATTTGGTGAATTTAGCATTAAACAATTTCACTGGTGATGGGCACATCATAGTTAATTAATCTGGTATTAACAGGCGTTTACTCATAACATCTGAGCAGTAAGGAAAAATGCAAGAACTTTCTCTTAGTGTATATGTTGTGCTCTAGTGTAAATACAGTTAGTTGATTATCGATTATCCAGCGCGATTATCCGGCTTCCAACATTATCCGGCGGCCCCGCGCCGAACCAGTGAAACCGAAAAACGCTCCAAAGTTTGTAACCAGTCTGGCGATCGGGGCGCCATATGCATGACGGGAAAAAAAGTAACTACTTGCCTTCAGTGTCAAATATATACAGTACATGTTACACTACATACATAATGTACATTATATCACACATGGTCAGTGGAAGTAATAATCTGGGGCCTGATATCCTAATATTAATTTAGATGAAATGCCCAACATTTAAAATCAGGAATACAGGTTAGAAGTGCTTAAGTTACTACGAGAAAGTGATTAAAATAACGTAAGATCATGCGATTGTTAACGACACTGGGCCACTTTGTACTTTAAATATAAGTTTCAGAACACTGGGTTCCAGACCATGGTGGTGGCACATGAAGGCAAAATTATGGTGGCATTCCAATCAGAATGCTACAACATCAAGTTGCATTGGAATTGGGTAGCTGGCACCTGTAATTGTAGCAAGAGCTTTCAGTGACTTTAGTGTTAGCTTAATTGGCCTCTGCTCTATGTTATATTATATAAAGTGCTGTACACTCAGTCATCAGCTGCTAAACAAGGAGATATATGAAAAAGTAAATATGCTTAATACAGTACACGTGTTAGGTATTTACTTCCTCAGGCCTAATTGAAAGGACCATTCATGTATTATATCAAGGCTATGCACCGTCCATTATGATATATCAGCAGCTATTGCCAGATGATACTGGTAGGAACCTCCTGGTTACACCAGCCCACAGGGGATTATTGTGTCCGTCCGTCGTGCATCCAAAAATGTGAGGGGTGGGGCTGGGTGGAGAGGGGCTGGGTGGGGAAGGGCTGGGTGGGGAGGGGAGGGTGGGGAGGGTGGGGCGTGGGAGGGGTGGGGCTGGGTGGGGAGGGGCTGGTCACCCCGTGGTGCCCTTATAAAACTCAACGTTTAACCTACTCACGCCGGCTTGTGCCCGCCCTCACAGTCGCCCATATTTGTGGAATACACCACGCCGCCGTTGACCCTGGCCATTGACCGAGCAACCCAACGTTCCTACCAGCTCCCTCCGCAGGAATGTGTTAATCGCATCTCTCAAGACAATTGCAAAGATGCGATCCACCTTGCTCCATGAATTGACTCCATCGCTCTGGAAGGCACCGTGGTTAGAGTGCTCGACTCTTTAAACAAAAAGTTTAAATCTCGATTATTTGTAACTCAACTCAAAATTCCTTTGAACAATATAAATTTACAACTTAGCAGAAAGGCAACATCTTCAGACTTATGTCCGTCGAATGAATATTGATTTTAAAGTTGACAATGTATAACCAACAGATGAGCAAAGCCTCATTGCTCATTTTAGTATTAGTTAAGTCGACCACCAACAGAGATTTTAACTGAATTTCACAACATTCCATTAGTCGTAAGATAATGCTAGTGCCATCCGCTAGTTTACGCACTGTACTGTCTAGGCAAACACGTGGAAAGCCTATGACAATGACGTGTACAACAATCACGTTTATATATTGAACTGCATGCATACGCATCTATGTATTGGTACCATACACACATCATCGTAACAAATCACAAACGTCAAAATGCCAACTTCAAATGAGCAAGCGGACATTGCTTTTGTGATGTGGGCCTTTTTCTCTCTAATTCAAATTTGTAAAGCAACGTTGCACATTTTATTCCGAATGTTCTTTTGATGTGAGATGACAAATCAATGTGGATTTCCTGAAGGGTATAGTAGTTACAAACTTCGTTAGAGAAAAGCCCACGGAAGCAGATACTACCACAAAATAACATGTGAGGCAGTTAAGTGACCTCTGTTCCATGACGTAGGGGGCAGCAGTTTTTCACCTGACTTGAGAAGAATGTTTGCCGCATAACGGTAAAAACCAATGTTTTAAATTCTCAGAGCTAAGATTTCAGTATTAATTACCGCTTATATGGTGCTTAAAGAGAAATGTTTTAATAATAGGTTTTTTACCCTTCTATCTGGCAACAAAACTGACACCTTTTTACTAGGAATCATGTTTGCATTAACCACAATACCTGCGGTCAAAATGCAAACAAAAACACACTGATAATGAGACTAGGCTCTAAAAAAAAGCTGTCTCTGGTGTGGACCAATACATTTCAAGGACAATGCATACATTATCAGTGTGTTTTGTTTGCATTCCGACCGCAGGTATTGCGGTCAATGCAAACATGATTCCTTGTAAAAAAAGGTGTCAGTTTTGTTGCCAGATAAAAGAGTAAAAAAATCTTTGATTTAAAGCTTTCGTGACTGCAGGGATTCATATTCTTGGTTCTTTCGGTAAAGTCACGTAGAAGGGAAACACTAAAATAATAAAAATATAAAACAATAAGATTCTCACGACGTTTCGACTGCAACACAAGCAATCATCGTGAGAATTTTATTGTTTTATAATTTTATTATTTTATTGTTTCCCTTCTACGTGACTTTACCGAACGAACCAAGAATATGGTAAAAAAAAAAAGACCTATTATTATATTTTGCTACTGGCAAAGGAGGCCTCATGATAGAAATGTTTTAGGTGGGACTTGAATATCCCAACTGAGCCAGAGTTCCACAATCCAGGTGACACATAAATGAATGCCCAATTAAGTGGTATTTTTTGTGAGCAGCCACTGGTAACCAGGCTGAGATCATGAACTCACCACACTTCTGAACTCGGTTTTAATGATTCAAACCAAGGTTTCTCAGTGGTAGCAGCAGGTCAGTGCTCTAATTTTTTCGTCATCCAGCCAGCTCCTCCTGTCTCTGGCAGAGGTCACTATTTTAGATTTTATTGGGATTAACCATTAAAGAGAGAGAAAAAAAGAGATTAGTTGACTACATATACGAGATAATTTAGAGGATATCATTCAGTAATACATTGTAATAATGCAGGAGTTAATCACAAACTCTGTAAGTCATACAAGACGAATCGGCGTGTGCAGTTACATATAGCCTATTACACACACATACGGTATATAGATAAGAAATGAATTATAACAAGGGAGAGCCCAATAAAATGTTGTATTTAGTAAGAATTGCCGTGTGAATACAGGGTGCTAAATATTCGCAGGGAAACATTATACATATTATATTTTTCAAAAGTTCTACATATTGTGAATACGGTCATGTAATGTACGTACACACATTAAACCTATACATGTTACATTCTGTACAGTGAATTGAAATGTAAAACGTAATGAAGTACTTATGGAATAAACGTGACGTTCTTGAGACGTGAAACACGGTAGAAGTATGCAAATGTGAATAGACCAAGTTTCCAGCTCACATTTTGTTGTAACACCGTTATGGATACAAATGTGAGCATATTAAGATGTAATATACGGTCCCCTCTACTTATTTAATAAAAAGCTCGTTCACTGCTCTTATAAAACACCTGAGATCAAACACTGTACAACATTACGATGATGACGTGATGTGGGCCCTAAGGCCAAATGACTCGGAACGCGCCCAGCTTCGTCAGAAAATCACAAGTCAAGCCAGCCTGAACCCTACACAATACATCTTTGTTGGGTTTACCAAGCAGCGTGCAGTCTTGTAGGACACAATTGCGGTGCTGCGTTCAGCCGAGATCGGTGAACTAAGCACGGGGACGAGCGCGGATTGTGGTTAAATAAGCCCGAACGCGACCACGCAACAGACACGGGTAAGGGCCCCTTAGTCCAGCAACGGATTGACAATATTTTGCTGCGCGTGTATCCTGTACTTGTATACAATTGAGACAATAACAGAGGTAGCCGCCTCGAGGAGCCGCGGGGCGGGGGGGAGACCACCGCCTGAGGCGGGGGCCGCACTCAGGAAAACCGCAAGGCTTCGGGCCTTCAACCCCCCCCCCCCACCTCGGCAGGGCCCCGTCAGGAAGTGCGCTCACCGCAGATAAACACGACGAATATGAGCGTCTTCTTCTTGGCCTCCGCTATTGCGGCGGGAATGGTTCTATCGAACCACAGCATGGTTGTTGACTACGGCTATAGGAACTGTGCGGCGATGTTAGCGTCTTGGCGCGACGAGGCCTGCGGTTTGTTTAACTCGAGAAGATCACAAGTCGCCCTGGCCACTCGCGCCGGCGGATTGGTCCGCGCGCATCACGTGGTCCCCTACGCGCTCCATTCCGATTGGCGGATGTGCGCTCGTCGTGTTTGTCTTTGCCACATTGGGCGATTCCGAATCGAATCGTGACGCGGAGCGAATGTGGATCGATGTCTGTCTTCACCCCCAGATTGCAGGCACAGGTAGCGATTCAATAATCGAAACACTGTTACGCTAAAAATTGCAAATCGATTCCTATACAGGCAGTCCTCGATTTACGAATACTCGACTTACGAACCAGCAGCTTCCACGAGATATTTTTGTTACATCGACTTAAAACGCGAATTCGCACACGCAAACTAAACCAGGGAACGATTGTGTTTGGCGGAGCAATCCTCCGCGAGATGAAAGGCGTCAGCCTCGCCAGCATCGGCACTCAAGGTAAGTGAAAATAAAACAGATGTTTCTTTATTTTGTTTTATTTACCATCCAATATTTTACACGCAAATGTACATTTCTTCTTATTTAGAAGTTTCACAATGCTTCCCCTTTTGTTGAACTGTAACATTTTATAACTGACCTTATGTACATTTATATACAGTACATTGTGTTCCGACTTCCGAACGGGTCTCAGGAACGGAACCCATACGTAAGTCGAGGTCTGCCTACACTGCATAGAAGGATCACTTGTACTGCAGCAGTGCTCATAACGCATAGAGATTGACAATTTTCCTTCAAAACTAGTGACCCGGACGGTAGTGACGACACACGCCTGTAAACCAGAACTGTGGACGCAGCAAGGGTTTGTGAATCACACAAAAGCGATGCAACTCCCTTACCTTGGATGCTGAGACGCCACACCTTGGCCCACCAATAGGCGGTGACACCAAGCGTGGACCGATCTCCATCTGCATTGGATAGTGTTACCCCAACACATGCGTGAGTTTTACTGGTAGGAACCTCCTGGTTACATCAGCCCACAGGGGATTATTGTGTCCGTCCGTCGTGCATCCAAAAATGAAAGTGGGGAGGGGCTGGGTGGGGAGGGTGGGGCTGGGTGGGGAGGGGCTGGTCACCCCGTGGTGCCCTTATAAAACTCAACGTTTAACATACTCACGCCGGCTTGTGCTCGCCCTCACAGTCGGGCATATTTGCGGAATACACCACGCCGCCGTTGACCCTGGCCATTGACCGAGTAACCCAACGTCACTACCAGCTCCCTCCGCAGGAATGTGTCCTCTGGGTGTTCCAGTTTCCTCCGACATTAAAAGTTGTCCAAACCTCCCAATATAGGATCACAGAGCTTGGGCAATTGTTGGCGCCTGTTCTGGCTGCCTTCCCCTCCCCTCCAATGCATAAATTATACATTACACATTTTGACTTTAAAGTCTCAGACTTTATTATACAATAACAAATATACACAATGTATGCACATATGTGATGTAATATGCACACAAGAGGCCGTCTCCATATGTACACATGGATTGTGGCTTCGTGGGTCAGCTGTTTGAGACATCCTACACCATTTAACAAAATTCTGCTGTTGCAGGACACCGTATTTCTCCACTCTTTGATGTTGTAGCTGCTAATGCCTATTAAACCATCTAATGATGTACCAATTTGTTGTGGTTTTGATAATTTAATTGCATCATGAATGCAAATATCATTTAAATTCGTCTACTGTGCTGTAACTAGGTGGGCTAATAGTGGGGAAAACTGGTCTGGCTAGCTGCAAAACTAATAGAATGTAAAAACAACTTTTTTCTGGAAATGTAACACGATAAATGTATTACTGTGGCGTTTGTTACTGTGCAGACCAAAAATAAGTACTATGGGACATTGTTGTGTACTGTGCTGTCCAGTATTTATGGCGGTCAGTCTGAGGATATGCCGGTCCCCCATCCCCCAACACCCCTCCCCTATCACCCCCTCACCACCATACCCCCCCCCCCCTAGCACTAACGAATTTCTGTAAGTACACTGACCACTTTTTCCATGTTATATATACACAATATAACTTGTTCTAGTGTACTTTCATTGTTGTACGTAACATGTTCCAAAGCTTAAAGGATGTACATTATTTTATTTACAATTTTTTGCATTATATATGTACAACTATTTAATTAGCCTACCTGGTGACGCTAAATTGGAAATCTGGCGAGCCGGTGTTTTACTGTATAATAATAATAAAAGCCTTAGTTTCAACGCTGAGGGTCCTGCATTGAGATGTGTGGCATGTGGGCAGTAGCCGGACCACTTTGATAGGAGGGGATAACACTCAAAGGCTCTGCACAAATGGGTCAGGTGAGTGGTCCAAATCTGTAGACCACAGGCACCTATTGCTGTACTACTATAAAAAAAACTTGAATCAAATCGCCACCTGGAATTGTGGCCATTATCGAATTGCCAAGGAGGAGCATCGTTAAATACCTCCGACAAGGGCATAACTTTCAGACTCTCTCGAGCAAATAGAATGATCATTACAAAATATGCATCTGACCATCACGTTGGTATGGTTCCTGACACAATGTACAAACCTATGAACGATGATAAATGTTAAATACCGCATTTCCTACCTAAAAATATTGATGCGTTCAACTTTTTTGTAGAAAACACATCAAACGACCACACAAAAAAAACAAGAAAACCGCAGAACTAAAATGTGACAATCATTCAAAAATATCGCCATATAATCTATGTGAAATCGTGCTATGCTAATTGAATGTTTCTGGAAATGGTCCTTGAGCAGAAAACATTACATGAAATAGTAATTATATCTGCATGATTTTGTACACCCTTCAATTTTTATTTTGACAAAGTGAAAATGGAACTTAGTGCAACAAAAAAAAGTCCCAGGCTTAAAAGGATGTAACGTTTTTGGGACAGAAGGGAGTTCGAGAAACGCTTCACAGGATAACGCCACGATTGCATCAACGGTTTGAATATACCGTGATCATGGAATGCTTTTATACATAGATATCCAGGAAAGTCTAACTTTTATCTTCATGAGCTTTTCAAGAAGGTACTGCTGTAGTTGTCTAGTAGATTGGGCATCTCACAAATTATGGATTATTATCTGTATGGATGCACTAACTCCCACTGGCAATTTTCTGGGCTGCAGCCATGCACTGCACCACAACTAATACAATATTACTAACACTTGATCTTTCGTGTGACTTTTCATATATAGACCACAACTTAATTCTAGATTTGAAGTTTTCGTGACTGCAAGGATTCATACTCTTTGTTTTTTTCGGTAAAGTCACGTAGGTAAAAAGATTAAAATAAATTAAATCACGACGTTAACATGCAAACTCCTTTGTCAAGGCGCTCTCCCCTCCTCCCACCCACCTTAAAATACGCTGCCAAGCTTAGCAGTGTTCATTAGGACGCTGTCTTTTCTGAGGACGGCTGCTTGCGTTGTGGCCGAAACGTCGTGATTTAATTTATTTTAATTTTTTACCTATGTGACTTTACACAACAGACCAGAACTTGGTTGGTTTGATGAAACCCAGGAGGGAGTCTAGCATCTCTCAAACACCCTGTAGAGGTCGGTGAGGTTGGCGATCTGCAGCAGAGTTCCATCCTCCGCAAACTGCCCAGGCGGCAGCAGGACAGAGCGCAGGGCCTTGAAGACCGAGTGTTCCACTGTCCACTTCCAATGCGGAAACTGCGGGGAAAGGGGCACAGGCAGTAAAGATGCTATACCAACACCTGTCTGACCCTTCTAATGATCACAGCGAAGATGATTAAGTCTTTTTACTTCGACGCATCAGAGTTCAATGAGGTGCACATTTTTAGAAAGGTAATGTTAAAAGATGCGGCCATGCAATTACTTGCTCATGACAATGCTGGCAGAAGGGCATACACTAGAGGGAGCTCAAGTGCCTGCCTAGAGGGCATTTGCCCTCTTTCATGCTGGCCACAGATGTCTTGGAAGAGATGGGTGTACCCATACTTTACCCCACCACCCGTGATCTGCAGCTCAACTAACTTTTTAATAGGGGAGACCAGAGTAATTAGTTACATAGGAAGATATATTACGTTTGAAACTGTTGAGTTGGAGGTTTTTTTACTTTGAAAACTGAGCAATGATAGTGGCAGAGGGTGGCTTATTTAAATGGTTTACAGGGTAAACGCAGTCATGTTTATAAATACAATGAAGATTCATTTGTTATTAGTTCCAGATAAAATATAAGGCTATGGGTATTATGGCTAGGGAAATGGATGTGTTTGGCTGAGAGTTATTAATTAACTTAATATTAGAAATCCATATTTGTTTTCGGGTTGGGCCGCGTAGCAGTAGTTTTATGCCAAAATCCTTGTCGTCAACCCTCCAACACGTGACAAGCTTGTCACGTTTGCAAAGATATTATTTGGTGGTAATGACAATAATTTTGGCATAAAACTCGCATGTGGCCTAACCCAAAAACAAATATGGATCGAACTATAAACATTGTTTTATTTTACCGGGTAATGCCCACTGAACTATATCTCTTTTTCAGAAGCGACCTGACCACAAATGATAGCTCAACAAAGTGGGTTATCGCGTAGAAATGTATCGCAGCCAAATACTCTAAACGCATGATTCTAAATGTGGAGGGAAATACCCGAGGACCCGCAGAAAAATCTATAAGATAACGGGGAGAGAGAACATGCAAACTCCAAATATACAGGCGCGTCAGGGTCGGGATCGAACGCAAGACCTCCTGTATACCATACCAGGCGAGGTAATTAACATCTCGCCACAGTGATGCCACCAAGTTATGAATCATTGGTTAATGTAATAAGGGGCTATGGAGTAAAACTAAAGTTGGTGGAGGGTTGATGACAGGGATTTTGGCATAAAACTACTGCTACGCGGCCCAACCCGAAAACAAATATGGATTTCTAATATTAAGCTAATTAATAACTCTCAGCCAAACACATCCATTTCCCTAGCCATAATACCCAAAGCCTTATATTTTATCTGGAACTAATAACAAATTCATCTTCATTGTATTTCTAAACATGACTGCGTTTACCCTGTGAATCATTTAAATAGGCCATCCTCTGCCACTATCATTGCTCAGTTTTCAAAGTTAAACAAGTATAACCCGTAAAAACTAAGTTTTTCACTATAAATCCTTTATATGCGTGGCGGCTAGAGTCCTCTCGTCCCCTGGCTTGAGATGGCTGCCACCTATGGGTCAGATGATTGCATGGCAGCATTAAGCAATTGGTAATTCAATATAATATTTTCGTCCTAAAAAGTGTAAAATTTTGGTCACGCACAACGAGTCTGTGTGGAAAATGTCAGCTCGATTGGATCACGGGAAGTGGGTTAAAAAACGACCAAAAGATTTGCACGGTCGTAAGCGCACAAGCAAGCAAGCAAGTGAACTTAATATAAAGGATTTAAAAACCTCCAACTCGAACAGTTTCAAACGTAATATATCTTCCTATGTAACGAATTACTCTGGTCTCCCCTATACAAAGTTAGTTGAGCTGCAGATCACGGGTGGTGGGGTAAAGTATGGGTACATGCATAGCTGGAGTTATAAATGGAATTACGCCTGTGCTGCTTGCCTCTTGGCTGGGCTCGGTTTCGTCCGTCGTGTCCAGGGTAAACTCTTTGCGCACCGAGTAGAATAGGCTGCACTCCCGGCAGAAAGATTCAAAGCACTCCTTCTCATCCTCCCAGTTCACCTGCGTGGCAGATTTACATAAAAAGCAACGTGAATTTCCTTAAGCTGATAGAAAAACGGCAACTTTTGAAATCAGTGGCCGGACAGCAGCTTTGCTGAGCCACTGGGCGACATGTTTGAAAAAGAGTGTGGAGATATGCACGGTCAGCTACACACATAACATGTATGTGTTAGGACTACAGAACAGATACTGTGCAACCTAGTGAGATACAGCCCTTTGCATGGTTGAATAAAGCATACTATCATTATGTGTTGTTATGTTTGGTCAGGAATTGCCTAAAATCTAGACCTTGATACACTATCGAGTCCCGATATCAATATTTACTGATCATCACATGTGTTGAGCGAGATTGCAGCCTAAAACATAAATGTGCATTTTTTGTCATAGGGACATAGCTAGCTTTGGGTATGCTGGGCTGTCTCAAATTATTAACACACTCATTTGAGATTCAACATATTTTCAGAAAAGTAATGCATTGGGATGTTGGTATGTTTTTCGATAAGGACCACAATGCAAATGAGAGAATAACACTCAAAAGTCCGCAAATAGAGGTTAAAAAGTATAATGGCATTCATCTAGAAAAGCGATACCAAGTTTGAAGGCAATTTTAAGTAGGTCTTGCACTGGAATCTTTGGTCATGTCTAATTAAAACCGCAAAGTTCATAATCAGAATATTTATTTATACTGGAGGAATCCAATGAGCTATAAACATCTTTTTCACAGATTTCCAGTAGGAGGTTGGAGCACACAGTGATGCACAATGAGGTAATTAGTAAAATATAAGCGTTGGGACGGGCAGATGCGAGGCTATTTTAACACAGATATGAGTGGTGTTGCCAGGCCTTTACAGCTGCACCCCCTGGTTACCTCTGTGGTGAGGCGCAGCATGAAGAGAGGAAGCCCCTCCAAAGCTGGGATGTAATTGTCAAGCAGCAGAGGGAGTCCAGTTAGGTTACCATCCTGCACGTGTTTCCCCAAAAACAAAACAAACACAATCTGATCTTGACCAACGCTCACCTTCAAAGTCAAGTCACAGTCTTCTTGGTTCTTTCGGTAAAGTCACGTAGAATGGAAACAATAAAAATAATAAAACAAAACATAATAAAATAATTCTCACGACGTTTCGGCCACAACGCAAGCAGCCGTCATCAGGTCTCCCCGACAGACCTGGTCTTCACCTGATGACGGCTGCTTGCGTTGTGGCCGAAACGTCGTGATAATTATTTTATTATGTTTTATTTTATTATTTTTATTGTTTCCATTCTACGTGACTTTACCGAAAGAACCAAGAAGATGAATCCCTGCAGTCACGAAAGCTTTAAATCAAAATTCAAGTCACAGTGTTTCCCTTCACAAATGAGCAATGGGGGAGCACTCATATGAGGGCAGTAGCCTTGAACCAGTGCTGAAATGACACATTCCTAAAATAATGGCAAAAAATAGAACAATACAGGTAGTCCCCGACTTACGATGGAGTTGCGTTACGACGACCCCATCGTAAGTGGAAAATATCGTAAGTCGAAAATGGCCTCGCCTACCCAGGAGTCTTAAAGAATGGTGATAATTTAGCAAAACAGAGCAATTTACAGTACCGTACTGTATAAACTATATGCGTACAGTACATCCGGGCAGCGTCCCAACGTACAGTATCGTACCTCGTACGCTGCTGCATTTGCCTGCCGCGCGAAACGTTAAATATTTGACAATTTTGTCGTATCGCTATCGCCATCGTAAGATTGAAATATCGTAAGTCGGACCATCGTAAGTCGGGGACTACCTGTATGCTTTACCCTTTCTGGCAATAAAACAGGTTTAAGATGTTCAAACACCAAATAGACACCTATTGCAAGGCACTAATTCTGATCATTAACCACACGTAGTTGTAAATAAACATGCTCTGATAATATATGCAGTCAGTTAAACACGTAGACTTCCGCTATCTAACCCAAAAAACCTGTATTATGGATATGCATTGTCTTTGAAGCCAATTGGCCAACACCAGAGACTGCACGTGTGGTTAATGCGGACTTGATGTAGGTACATTCTACAGCCCCCATCGCCCCCCACCGCACCTGATCGATCTCGAGGGAGAAATAGTCCTGCAGCATTTCCGCGCGCTGGTTCAGGAAGGCAGCTGCGTGCTCTGCAAGCTCCTCCCGAGGACCGTCCTCCTCCGTCCAGCCGCTGTCCGGATCCTCGAGCGCCATCATGATAATCTGGTACAGGGGCGCCGGAGTCTGCACTCGCACACAAAGACAAAGATCCCTCTTATAGCCTTCAACAGACTGGTTGGGGCAAGAGCACTTCACGGACACCTATTATTGCCAGAACGGCACACAAGTGGCCAGAACTACGCCCAACCGCCTGTCTCCCCAATGCTGATGTTTACACACCGCATCAGGTACATGCGGCACATTAGGAATGGAACACTCTTTTAATTATTTTCTCGTGCAGCAAGGGAGTAAAGTGTGGTTTTGTGAAAGTCCGTATGTGCTGTGCAGTACATCAATGCACGTGTGGGTGGCTGGCAGGGTTATTGATTAACCAGACTTGTACACCAATCACGTGGTTAATGGCGACCCGATTGAGGATTGCTGTGTGTGACACACGTGCCGTTGCATCTTACAGATTGACCACAATAAATGTGTTTGCTCTCGATTTGGAGCACCTGCCCACGTCCTTCATTTCGAGTGTGCAACATACACACACACACAGACAAGAAACCAAAATATCTCCCTTATAGCCTTAACAGACTTTTGGGGCAAGTGCTGTTAGCGAGCACCTATGAAGGCCGGCACGGCACACGAGGGGGTGGGTGGCCAGCACCACGCCCAACTGCCTTTGTCGCCCCAGTGGCAATGTTCACACACCGCACCAGGTACTCATTTGAGGCTGAGTCGACTAAGGGGAGGCCCAGGACTGGTTCAGATAATCGTCACCGGTGTTGGCCGCAAGTGGGAATCGAACTTGGGTTGCCGGCTTCGTCGCACAGCACGCTAAATGCTACACTACCGCTCCCCACTGCAAGCACACACACGTTTAGATTAATTCGCATAAATGTAAACGTACACATATTTCACCCTATATCTATGCACACAAAAACAAATGCTTACACATTTGCCCAAATGTATTCCTAGTGTTCAGCATGCATCCACAGGCATGACAAGGCACTCACAGAGAGACGAAGAACTCCAAAGTTTCCAAAGTCTTGTATGAGGATCTGGTAAAATAGCTCTTGGCTGTGGAAAAGAATAGGCCAGGAGTCAAATATCATCACACAAAGGAACAAGACTTTTTTTCAAACACATTCATGTAAAAAGGCATGTGGTAATGCTGCGATCGTTGGGAAGCTGATGGGCACTATGATTGGGAATCTCATCAGCTGTTGTTATTACCAATGCCTGCTTTGGAAACAACGGTATCTCAATGTGTAGCACAAAGTCTCACTGGACCTGAGCTTCGTGGTGTTGACAAGGTAGAGCCTGGTTTGGTGCTGAAGGAGAGCCCAAGTCGGGTCAACACAGCCCACAAACGTGTGGTTCTTGATCACCTCATGCAGGCCTGAACACAACCACGGAAACGCGCATCCTCAACGACATGCAACGTATAGAAAGGCATCACAGCAATTTTACATATTATTTAAAAAACACAGTTACATTCCAATTGTCTGCCCAACCTTTAGATTTTTAAGTTACAGCACACTACATAAGGCACCAACCCAGCCAGGTAGGATAGAGATCCCTGATATGAGGTTGTCAAGTGACTAAGGGGTCAGTGAACTGCCACTGCTCAGATCTTGGGCTTAAAAACTGATTTAGCTGCCAGAGATTAAACCGGGATCTCCACGATCGCAGGTTGATGAGCACAATCCAGTCACCAAGACTTTTGGAGAAACATACTGACTTGAGTGCGATACATACTTTGGTTAATTTCCAGCTTTGACAAACAAAAAATATGTTGTTTTCACTGTTATTTGACAAAACATTTCTCTATAGTGGAACGTGTGACAATGCAGAGTCTACTCTTTGGTTCTTTCGGTAAAGTCACGTAGGGATACATAAAATAAATTAAATCACGACGTTTCGGGCGCAACACAAGCGTCCGTCATCAGGTGGGACAACCACAGAACAGATGTGTGGAAAACCTCCCCGTAGAGGCGGTTTAATCTAGATTTCAAGTTTTCGTAACTGCAGGGCCCATACTCTTTGGTTCTTTCGGTAAAGTCACGTAGGTATAAATTAAATTAAATCACGTTGTGTGGACAAGGAATATCACTTGAAGTGATCTAAGAAGCAGTTCTATGACATCGCTCTCCTCATTCTGCTCTGTAATATCCACAGCAATTATGGTTTGTGGACATTTCACTTTGATAAAAAAAATAGGGAAAAAGGTATAGAATCATAAAAAACGACAAGAAACCAGTGGTTATACATGATGCATGTGCTGTGCTTTCTGTGCGGACCGTCGTGCTTGCTGGAGGCGATTTCACTCTGCAAAGCAAGGAGGCTGACGAAGCTGAAGACACGGCGCTTGGAGAGGGCGGCTGCCATCAGTGGCTCCTGCTCCTCCTCCATCCCCTCTTCCACCGCCGCCGCCGCCGCCGCCTCCTCCACTCTTGAGTCACCTTCAAAGGCCTCCGCCTCGCAGCCCCTCGCCCCATCTGCGTCCGTGCGCGGCCTCTTACTGGCGGTGTAGTTTGCAGGCCAATGAGATTATGAACAGGGTATGAGAAGGAAAAAAAGCCAGTCCGTTAAGTGAGGTTTCACTTCGTGTGATGTGACATTTGCAACTTTGCCATGACCCGTATGCATGTAGAACTTCTTTTGCACCGTACATAGCTAACCATGCTAATCAGAGGTGTGGGGGAAGGACAACAAACTAAACACAAAAATCAGTTCTAAACACACCGGTGGGCTAAAGTAGTGAACTATTCGTCTTTTGTAAACGTGACACATTTTTTACTGTTTGGCCGTATCGAGTGGTGGAGGGTTACGACACATTTATAAATAACGCAATCTGACCCAAAAACATTTATTATGAATAATATTGGTCGCGAAAGCCTACGTGTTAAACAGTTCTAGAGAAATTAGTTTTCAATATACATTTCAAAGTGCATCGCTCCAGTGGCTTCCCAAAATCACAAGGACCTGAATAATTAGTCCAGGAGCCAGAGCTGAAATTGGTACCACCAGCAGTGGTAAATCCAAGTTGTACTAATTTTTATAAATGGCCAATAAAATTGATTACGAAATTAACTATTCATTTAAAAAGGTTCACAATGTATCGTCATATAATCAGTACCACCAAAGGTTTTCCAGCATGGATGATAACAAGTGAAAGACCTGATGATCATGGATTACATCATATTCCTACAGTAATTGCTTTTGAAACTGACAAATGATGGAAAATTTTTAAATCTTGGCAGAGACATGTTCTACCACCCAACCCAAGCAAAGCATGGACATGATGATGATAAATATCGATGTGAAGGATAATTACTTACAAGGATGATGATTTAACACGTAGGCTTTCGCGACCAATATCATCCTTAAGAGATTTTTTGGGTTAGATCGCGTAAATATGTGTCGCTAAAACCCGCTACTACCCGACACAGCCAACTAGTAAGGGTTGTCACGTGAACAGAACATGCCAATTCGTTACTAGTACAGCACAGCGGTGTGTTGGAGAGCCAAGCCACAACATTTACAATCTGAGTACAACGTTTCGGCAGTAATTACAACGAGCTTTATAAGGCAAAAGCCAGTTAATCAAAGATTTACTTGATGAAGGTTTGGAACGTGAACAACGGCAATAATTGGCAAGTCATCAATTCCCAGGAAGAGCAATAGCTGATCAAACCAATTGCATAAAAACCACCAAGACTTTATGGGCTACCAAAAATTAACAAACCTGATGTCCCATTAAGACCCATAGTTAGTACAATAGGCTCTCCCACATACAAATGAGCACAATACGTAACAAAACAAAAACAGGCCTACATCGGTAGGACCTCTTCGTTCATCAAAAACTCTGAACATGTCGTAAATATAATCAAAGATATTAAGCTTAACCCTAATGATATTCTCGTAAGTATTGATGTGACTTCTCTGTTCATGAGGGTTTCGGTCAACAAGTCAATTCAATTACTCGACACTCTGGTAACGAACAAAGGTTTAGCCGAATATATCCCAAGACTAGCTGAACACTGTCTAAAGAACACCTATTTCTTGTGGCAAGGTGACTTCTATGAACAAAAGGAAGGAGCAGCAATGGGCTCTCCTTTGTCTCCTGTGATAGCAAATTTGTACATGTAAGATTTTGAAACAAAAGCAATAGCTTCAAGCACACTAAAACCATCTGCTTGGTTTAGATATGTGGATGACACATTGGTGGTCTGGCCACACGGCAAAGATACACTGAACGCATTTCTAAATCATCAACTCGCAAAACCCATCCATCCAGTTCACCATGCAAATGGAAGCTGACAGAACTCTACCATGTCTGGATATTCTGCTCGGACGGGGTCGAAATGGTAAAATAACACACTGTGTTTACCGTAAGAAAATGCATAATGATGCGTATCTGAATGCAGCCACACCACTACCCCGCACAGAAATCTGCTCTTATCAAGACGCTGATTCATCGAGCTAAGAAAGTGTCAGATGGTGACAGTCTGAGAAGTGAAATTCAACACGTTAAAGAAACGCTGCAAATAAACGGTTACCATGATACACAAATTAACAGGACATTGAATGCCAAAACCAAATCAAATAACACGAGCATTGAAACTGCCCAAGTAATTAAAACGATCAAAATACCGTACATTGCGGGAGTAACTGATAGACTCGCCAGATGATTGGAAAAACAAAAATATCCGAGTCCGATTTGGCACGGTACATACAAAAATACAGAAATTAATATCTGGTACAAAAGATGTATTACCGAAGCTACCAACAGAAGGTGTGTACAGGATTAACTGCACTTGTGGCAAATGCTATGTTGGACAAACAGGACGAATGATCAGCACGAGACTAAAAGAACATCAGAGAAATATTAAATATTCCCAAATACAACTGTTAGGAGCAGCAGAACACGCTTGCCAACAAGGACACTCAATTGATTTTGATAATGTTGAAGTTCTGTGCAAAACTAGCTACTACTGGCCAAGACTAATTAGAGAATCTATCGAAATTGAAAGAAATAAAAATTATTTTAACCGCTCGGATAGCTACCGACTTAGTGCTGTGTGGAAGCGAATCATAAAATAATAAATTGTTTAAATGCATGCCTATACAGGCCACCATACTTCTATAGGGATTACCATTGGTACAGCTATTTTAATACTCACAATGGATAGGAAGGACAAGATAAAAGGGCTCGCATAATGCGCATACATGATGTACGTTGACTCATTAATCCCCCACCCCCCCACTGAGCTCAGAAGTGTGGTCACCACATCTACGCCTCTATATAAGGAACGAAGCAGGTGGACCCGTGACGAAATGGCATGTTCTGTTTACGTGACAACCCTTACTAGTTGGCTGTGTCAGATGGTGGCGGGTTTTAACGACACATTTATATATTTACGCGATCTAACCCAAAAAAAAATATATTATGGATGATGATGATGAGTAAAGCATTTGCTGCACTCGCATGTGTTTTATTGCCCATCATCAGCTTGACCAATGAAGCACCTGCTTAGCTCAGCACAGACGTTCAATGACGATGAAGTTGACAAAATACACACCAGAGAGGAGAGCTGGTAACATCCCCATCACGTTCCAGCATCTCCATAATGGCGAGTTCACTCCGTGCGTCCGTCTCTTCCATCTCCTCTTGCTGAGGCTTGGGGAGTGTGTTCTGTGAAAGTTTGGTTACAGATATACAGTACTTATTAATCGTAACAATGCATTAGTAGGTGTCCTGCGGAGACAATAAAATATGAAAGGAATAAGTATTTTTGTGAAATACAATACAATTTTGTGGATTTGTCAATGGTTATTCATCTTAAGGAGACAATTCGATTCACCAAGAGAATGTGGAATTTTCACTATTACCTCGGGGCTTCCAATGTTCTTTTGAGCTGAGACTTACACACACAGAAAGACAAAGACCCCCATATAGCCTTAACAGACTGTAGGGGCAAGTGCTGTCAGCGAGCACCTATGAAGGCCGGAACGGCACACAAGGGGGTGGGTGGCCAGCAACCACACCTGACTGCCTTTGTCTCCCCAGTGGCGATGTTTACACACCACGCCAGGTAGTCATTTGAGGCTGAGTAGACGTAGGGGAGGCCCAGTACCAGTTCAGATATTCGTCACTGATTTTGGCCGTGAGTGGGAATTGAACTCGGACAGCCAGGTTCGTACCGCAGCGCGCTAACCGCTACACTACCGCTCCCCACACACACACAAAGACAAAGACCCCCTGTATAGCCTTGACAGACTGTAGGGGCAAGTGCTGTTAGCGAGCACCTCACACACACACACAGACACACAACGATATGCAAACAGAATAAATGACACACACTTGAAGGTTTGTGGAGATCTGCGAGACACTAACAATACAGATAATAGAATGTGGCAAACATCAAATGAATACAACTTTCCCGAGGGAAAAACCAAGACACACATGGCCAGAAATAGCCCAGCTGACGAGCCGGTGGGAGCCCTCCCTACCTGTGTTCGTGCTTGGGGCTGCAGGAAGATGTTGATCTTCTGGTCGCGCGCATCCTTGCGCACCAGCTGGTGGGCGTACACACGGTCCGAGGCTGCAGAGGGTCCCGGCCTGGTGCTGCCACCTTCCTGGGTGGACTCTAGCCCCACCGGTGGAGCATTGGGCAACAGCGCCTTCACAAACACAACAACAAAAACTATTAAGATGTATACAGCGTAGAAATGCAATCGCAAACTACGAACCCAGTAAATGTAACGGGCTCACACGGCATTCGAGTGTTAAGTACATTATGCCTCTGGGTGGCATACATTCAATGAAGTGTTTCCATTGTGACGGCACTGTAGAAAAACAATCATGATTTGTTCTATAGAAGTGCCATGTTCTCGATTACGGAGTGTTGTATTGTATACATACATGTCACGTCTGAATGTGTGTTGTGTATGGATGTGTCTGGTGTATGCCCTGTAGATGTGTGGTGTTTTAACTCTTTATGTAGACATGCTTCATGTCCTATATAGAAGCATGTTATGGTCCAGGTGGATGAATGTTATTTTTGTTGTTGATATGTGTGTTGCATTTGCAATTCTTCCAAAGAGCGAATCCTATTGTAAAATCTTCATTAATTTCAATGGCGTTCTAGCATGCCCAGAATGCAGAATTCTACCAATTCCACCCCAAATCTGGTGTGGCATTCAGGCCAGAAGGGAGGGTCCATGAGCCCTCGACGGCCTAGTGAATTCAAGGCAGGGCATGGTCCTTACCCACACGAATGTGCAGCGGGGATGCATGAAGCATACAAGTGTCGTGCCTGCCTTCAAAGGTGCTCGCTAACAGCACCTTGCCCCAACAGTCTGTTAAGGCTATAGAGGGGATCTGTCTTTGTACATGGCACAGTGTGTGGGTACGGTTGAGCGCGCCTGCCTGTGAGAAGTAGGTGCGCGAGGAGTTGGAGCCGAGAAGCTTGCTCTCCACATGCTGCTGCACGGCCTCCGTGACGCTGTCCTCGTGCAGGAAATGCACCTCGTGCTTGGTGGGGTGAACGTTCACATCCACGTTCTGTGGAGCCAGCTCCAGGCTAAACAAAGACAAAGATCCCCCATATAGCCCCAACAGACTTTTGGGGCAAGTGTTGTTAGCGAGCACCGCTGAAGGCTGGCTAAACACACACACACACACTCGTCTTTCTCAATTCCAATTCTTCTTTTCTTGTTTGATGTGAAACTATATCCGCCTTTTCAAGCATAGCTCCCCGAGAACGATTGTTCAAGGGTGCTTTATACATTTAATTATTTGTATGAATTAAACAAATTAGAGCAGTTTAACAGGAAGGCTTTCGCGACCCATGTTATCCATAACAAAGGCTTTTTAGAGCACTCAAGATATTAATGGTTCGTGAACAACATTGAGGCTGGGGTGACTTTAAACACCATTTTTTTAACTCTGGGTGGGTGGGGGAGGTGACGTGTGACAGCGTCGTGTCGCACCTGATGTAGAGGAAGGGGTGCGAGTTTTTGGGGAGGTACGCCGCGTACACCGTCTCGATTGCCTTCCGCAGCGCCGTCGAGTCCACAAGCCGGTCTGCAAACAACACCGCGAAAACATCTCCATTTCAACATTTCAGTTTTCTGGAAAGGAATAATATCAGAATCGGAATCTTTATTTAGACCAGAGGAATCCGGATGAGCTATGAAGCTCTTTGTTAACAGATGTCAAGTTGGGGGCAAGGGGTCAGGAAATTAGAATACAAAAAAACTGATAGGAGTGCAGAGGATAGGAAAGGTCAGCAAGTCGATAATGAACAAATAAAGATAAAGTATACAAGTTCAAATTTCAAAAGTATATCAAGTCAGCAAAACAATGACAACAACAGTCCTAGACCACACCAAGACAACACACAATCCTTCAATAATATTGCCATTAAAATTTAACTCTCGATATATGGGTAAAGATCAAAGTTACAAATAGTATTCGCAAATATTTTGTATTCAGCACTAATATTCTGCTTCAGGACCATCAAACCCTATTCAGAACTCCTTCCGTCAGCTCAGGACATACATGAATCTTGAAGAGACATCACATAATGCGGGTCTTACTCTCGATCATCCGCGGGCCGATTATCTGGGTTGCGGATTAAATGTGCTCACCCATGGATTTTAACTTGTATACTCCTCAATCGTCATAGGTGTCCGCAAACAGGTCGGCAAGTAAACCCCGACACTTAAAAAACGAGAAAAATAAACGATACAATGATAATTGGTTTTTTACCCTTTTATCTTGGCAACAAAACTGACACCTTTTTTTACAAGGAGTCATGTTTGCATTGACCACAATACCTGCGGTCAGAATGCAAACAAAAACACAACTCTGATCATGTATGCACTGTCCTTGAAATTGATTGCTCCACACCCGAGACAGCTTTTCTTAAGAGCCTAGTCTCACATGGTGTTGGACCAGATCACGCCAAAAGGCGCAAGGTCTCAGTTTTGTTGCCAGATAAAAGGGTAAAAAACCCATTATCATATTTTGCTACTGGCAAAGGAGGTTCCAATGGTGTAAACGAGATATTGTACATCTTCACCACCATTCTGCATAGGAAAGCAATTAATACATTTCGTGACCTAATTTACAAACCTTTTCTTTATTCAGATCTGGGCTAAGCCTGCCCCATAGTCCCCTGGATAAACTTGAATGAACTGCACTTACACACTCACTTTAAAAGGCCTCCATTACCCAACACGAGAAGACAATGTCATGCTGGGCAGATTGGATTTACACACTTAAATGATCGTAAACATTTTCGAACGTACCCCTCAAAACTAGACTTATCTGAACTACACAATGAGGCAAATGTATACGGTAGGTACTGTTTGTGCAGTCAACGGTGGTCAGGCTGAACCCATTAAGTTGTTCCACCTGTGAGCCTCGTTTAATTACAGGTGGCTGATTAAAAGTATGAATCCTAAATCTCAGTGGTGCTGGCCCAGTACTAAGACAAAGGCATTAGCCCTAGGAATCACATCCCCACTTTCTAATGACCCATCCTTGTTACCTGATAGCAAACTTCTTAACGGATATTTGCTGCACGAGTAGCAGTTACAAATTGACGATGAACAGGTGCCTGCACTCACGATTGATGAAGAGCAGGAAGACGCACTTCTTCATGGAGTAGTTGGCATTGGAGATGTAGCCTCGCATTTTGAACACCAGCTTTTTATCTTCATAGTCCACCTCAATGAGCTCCCTGTACGGCAGCCAAGGACAGGTTACAATGCGTCCCGCATAATAATTTTGGGTTCATCAAAGTCTGTTGCTGACGGTCCATATGACTATTACGAGCCTTTTGCCCGTCAAAGGACGGGTGTATTGCAGTAAATCTGAAACTTGCAAGCGAAAATCAGACCGCGACGTGATATTCATTGCATCCATTCGTGTGCAATTTGTAAGGGCGCGGTGACACAGACTTATTTCATTTAAAGGTTATAATCCCTTGTTCATCACGACGTCCTTTTTACTTGGATGTCTCAACAGCGTTACGGAGATCGCGTGACGTGAGGGTTCTGACTTTGTAGTGAGGGTTGCGAGTTGACGCCGATGAGGGGGGAGGAGGCGCCTCGGCCCCCCATGTGGAGTGACGTCACCCGCTAATTATTATGAATGGGGGGGGTGTCCATTTGGAGGACGTCACCTGTTCATGATTATTAATGGGGGTTGGTCGATGTGGAGTGCTGTCACGAGCGTTAAGGACAGACATTCCTGGGTGATTATATTATATATTATAGGAGGTTTTATTTCACTTGTTACCCAGGAAAGTCTCACTGATTATTATGGCTCTTTCCAAGAGGGCACGTTCTCCCCTTGTTTTGCAAGCATTTCTCTCGCGTTCTGCAGTTTCCTCCCACAGCTAAACAAACCATAATTGTATGGTATTGGCAAACATCCCAATGCATAAAATTACCTCAAAATTACTCACACTGGGATTACATATAACATCATCCCTTACAGAAAAACACTTTGCAGGATCCTTCGAGAAACAGTCTTTCATCTTATAAACTCTTCCTGGATAAATAGGGATAAAACATTCATGAGGAAAGGACGCTTGTTTGAGACCCACCGAGCAACGGATGCTCCATACACGGCTCGAATGTTGTCCACCGTAGTGGCTCCAGGAAGTGTGCGCACGTCGGCTGTGCTCTCCCCTTGCTGTTGGGATACAATCTCCGTCACTCATTCATTCGTCCAGGAGACTTGGATGTCTCGTAGTAGGCAAGAGCAGAAAACATCATTTTATACCACAGAATGACACAGGAAGGTGATGTCATAGACCCTTTGGTGTAAACTAAGTTGCACACATTTTATATGCCTGCCCTTCAAAGAGTGTCCGTAAAATTATAAAAATGAAATATTTAATCCTCAGCGATGGGATATGCTGAATACAACCGCCTCGCTTAAAGGCCCAATCAATGTACAAATCACGTGATAAATACTATAAAAATTAGGTTTTTTGCACATTTATTGTTTACTAGGTTGAGACCATGGACTTTCTACACTTGAGCTCAGTTTAATCATCGCAGGTGGCTTCTCAGATGACAAACCCAGGACCTCAGCTGGCTCAATCCTGTGCCATGGCAATCTCAACCAGGATTTTAACTCAACTTTCCCAATGTGGCACCAAGTGTGACCACATCATGGCAGAAACATGTGATCATACCATGGCACTAACTGTAATCGTATCCACCAAGTGTGATCACACACTGGGTGAGACCAATAACCAGTTATCCTATAGAATCACAATAAAAATGAATATCTCATATATGTAGATGTTTCTCATACATCTTAAATGCTCACCTTCTTCAGTGTAAAACTTACTCCGGAGTAGTGTATTGAATACCTGACAAAATAGAAACATCTCCAATTACAAATTTATTTTATGTTAAGAGTACAAATCAAAGAATCACCTGTCTCCCACAATTAAGAACTCAAATAAAAATGTCATATTATCCACGGAGCAAATTTACACATAATAACTCATCTAGCTGTATTTCCCATGGCCTCCACGTGAGAAATCAATGTTGTCTGTGGATGCACCCAGTTAATGGAAACTAATTGTTCATAAAAGACTAATGATTATTGCGTGTTATGTCCCTATAACATCTGGCAGTTCACCAGCATTGGTTCAACCAAACCTGACACCGCTGATAAGACACTATGTCAAAACCAGTCCGATTTGCTTGCCCTGAACCCAATGCTGCTGAAATTATGCAGGCCCAGAAGCCATTGTGGTTGACGGGAAATGTAAAAAACACTATTTTTTTTTTTGGAAGGGATAAAGGAATGAAGGAGATAGTACCCGCTTACTTATTGATCACCATCTTTCCTCCCCTCTTCTAAACATACTGGCATACAAATTGTACTTTGTAAACAAAAATTAAGTGACCATTATTTGCCCCGAGCCAAATAGTTTAAACTCCACATTCTCACGTCAGGGATGAATCAGTCTATGCAAAGAATAACCACTGCTGATTTCCAACAGAACGGTACTTATTTTATGTAACCCCAAGGACTGATGAGATTAATCGTCCCTACTAACTGGCTGGGATTTTTGAGGGGAGTGCTGTGACATGTCCCGACCTGACTGCATAAATAGGGCTTCACGCGTGCTGGATTACACGGCATGGTGATACACCGCTGGGAGTTCTCTCACCGGCTTACGACCTCCGTGATCTTGCCGTGCTCCTCACTGGCACTCTTGAGGGCTTTGCGTCGGGTCGCCACATTATAGAACAAGTCCTCAGCCTGTAGGGAAATTTTCAAATTTTATTGCTTCATATATATTTTTGGCAAATAACAGTAAAATTTATTTCGATCTAAAGCTTTCGTGACTGCAGGGATTCATCTTCTTGGTTCTTTCGGTAAAGTCACGTAGAAAGGAAATAATAATAAAACATAAAATTATATTCTCACGACGTTTCGGCCAGAACACAAGCAGCCGTCCTCAGGTGAAGAAACAGAGCTGTCATTGGAGCGCTGTCTTTCCGACAGCTCTGTTTCTTCACCTGAGGACGGCTGCTTGTGTTGTGGCCGAAACGTCGTGAGAATTTTATTATGTTTAATTTTTATTAATTCCCTTCTATGTGTACTTTACCGAAAGAACCAAGAATATGAATCCATGCAGTCACGAAAGCTTTAAATCGAAAAATGTTGGGAAGTACTTATTGTTATTGTAGAAATAAGTAATATTCTTGGTTCTTTCGGTAAAGTCACATAGAAGGGAAACAATAAAAGAATAAAAATATAAAACAATAAAATTCTTACGACGTTTCGATTGCAACACAAGCAATCATCATCAGGTGATTTATTATTTTATTGTTTCCCTTCTACGTGACTTTACCGAAAGAACCAAGAGTAAAATATATATCTTAAGATTTAGATATTAATTATTTCAGCAGGAAGGGCCCAATGAGCTGTTAGGCTCTATTTCATGGGCATCCTGCGACGGTACAGATGTTATATGGTCCAGATCTTTGTTAGAATTGTGCGTACATAGTTTACGATAGAAACAGGGAGTGTCAGTACATACTTTATATGTGAAATGTGTCTTCATTTGCAGTCAAAATGGTTACATAAATAGAAATATACTCATTGAGGCATCCATTCTTACTGTGTAAGAAGCTGCTGCTCAATATTCGGTTATGCTAAAATGTTGATATTAATGAAAGTGTCCATGCTCTTTCCTTGAAATTAACAAGTGTTTACACGGCGACGCATTGTAAAGGGTGGTCTTCTCTGAAGGTCTATTGCCTGAAACATCACGTGACTATACGTTTATTTTATAATGTAGTATTCATTATGAAGACGGTGAGCTTTTACCTATTTGTAAGTTATCGGTTCAGCTCTTTTTCCAAGCGACAAGTGTTTTTGGATTCTGAGCACAAACACCGCAAGGACAGGTTGAAGGACAGATGCTTTATTGATTACCGTAATCTGCGTTCCCTGGTTTCCCGCGCAAGGTTTGGGAGGCGCCTTCAGTTTGCCATCGCAGTACATTGCCCTGAAAAGCACAAAAAATCAAGTCCTTTAGGTGGAACCAAGAGACATCCTAATGGTATAAAGTCTCCATTGCAATGGGGAAAATATAACAGGATAAGAAGGAATTAAAATTCAGTGTATGCTTAATTAGCACAATAAGTACAATCATTCATGTAGAGTGCTCAACTTACAATTGAAAGGCTGCGAGTTCATATCCTGGTCAGGGGAAATCTTGGCTTATTGGTCTCTCTAGACTCAAGTAAATGAGTACCACTTTGGGAAAAGTCAATGGTTGCTCGATAAATGGCATGTGAGGTGTACACCACAATGGTGGAATATCTACCATTAGTTTAGTAATGAACTGAAAATAGCACCACTCCATTACTCCTTTAAGCATGGAAACTGAGGTTTGGAGATATTTTGCTAATGCAAAATATACAGAAAAATGGATGTCAAAATATATCCAAGGTGCAGTCCCATCTTCCCACCAGGATCAATGTGAAGAGTAACTCATTGTGAGAAAACTATAGAAATTGCTTAATGTCTACAAATTACTCCAAATCACCAACAGAGATAAGCGCCACCCTGAGCATGTAAATGCAATGAAACTAAATGTTCATTCTTTTGTAATCCATGAAATAAAAACAGGCACTGTGTTTCTACCGACCCGGGGTTGTTCACGTGCGATTGCAAATCAGCATTCCTATGGGTAAATTATAGTGCATTATTGCTTTTGCGTCACATGTTCTGTGCTGGCACCTGTAGGCACACATGCTGTCCGCTGTCTTGGTAGTTATCGTCACGTGCGCCACATGACTGATGCTGGCTAGAGCCTAGGGGGGAAGAACCGGGATTGGGGCATGGAAACACACATGACCGGTGAGAAACCTAATTATATCTACACCTCATCATCATTACATACATACCTCGACAGAACAGCTTTGTAGAAAGGTAGATAAAAAGTAATTCCACAATCAAACATGTGTGGAGTTATGCTCATATCCGTTTATGGTATGGAGCCAGTGGTGAAAATGTAGTTATCCTGTGGTGGGGATCTAATCTGTATTGTCCATAGTACAACCACTTGAGTTACATATTTCCATTGATAACAGTCCAACTTCGGTGGACTAATTCCATCCAATCACCAATCATTTACAAATTTCCTTTGAAAAGGGCTGCTGTTCATATAGATGACTAGCTTTACTATCCGGCTTCGCACGGGACTTGGATTCACCATGCCCGGCCGCCTTTGTCTCCCCAGTGGCGATGTTCCCACACCACACCAGTTACTCGTTTGAGACTGAGTCGACCTATAGGAGGCCCAGGACCGGTTCAAATAATCGTCACCGGTGGTGGCCGTGAGCGGGAATCGAACTCGGGTCGCCGGGTTCGTAGCGCAGCGCGCTAACCACTACACTACAATGCGTTACGCTTCCACATGCGCGGGTCACGTGATAGATTTGATGTCACAGCTGACTTGCCGTGCAAAAAATATATGCATTATTGAGTTCCCCCCCCCCCCCCAAAAAAAAGTGATTTTTTTATAATGTTTGCATGGTGTACAGTCTGGAAAGTATCCACATTGCAAATTTCCAGTTTGTTGCATGTCGGGAAGTACGCTAAACATTTTGAACAGACACACATTCACAACTTTGCCTTTTATATAGATTAAAAATAAAACTTGAGAATACTATACTTTTTTACACTTTGATAAATAAATATTACTAGCTACTGTAAGAAAAAAAAACTATGATTAATTCATTATTTGAGTATTCAAATTAGATATATACTACACTTAGAAAATCAAATCGTATATATTTTTTTAAACTGCTTTTGTATTGCAGTGACAATGACAGTGACCCCAGAACAATAGTGTTGTTCTGCCATTCCACTTCAACCACCTTCCCCTTCAGTAAAAATAATACCATGAAATCAGCCAATCTTATGAATACAACAAGACTGTACACTTTAGATATAACATCACATTTTTGTTTTTATTTTTCGCTGTTGCTTATTTCTATATATTTTTTGGGATCAGTATTCATGTGTCGTTAACCCACCACCACTCGACACAGCCAATTAGCAAGGTTTATCATGTAAACAAAACATTTTAATTAGTTACTACTTCAGCACACTGGTGTATTGGAGAGTAAACCCACAACATTTACAATTTGAGTACGACGTTTCGCTGGTGATTACAACCAGCTTCATCAGGCGATTTGTGTTTACTCTCCAACACACCGGTGTGCTAAAGTAGTAACTAATCAAAACGTTTTGTTAATGTGACAAACCTTACTAATTGGCTGTCGGGTGGTAGTGCGTTAACGACACATTTATATTTAGGCGATCTAACCCAAAAAAACCTCTATTATGGATATTGTTCGCGAAAGCCTACGTGCTAAACTTGCTTATTTCTGATTTAAAGCTTTCGTAACTGCAGGGATTCATTTTCTTGGTTCTTTCGGTAAAGTCACGTAGAAGGGAAATAATACAATAATAAATCACCTGATGATGATTGCTTGTGTTGCAATCGAAACGTTGTAAGAATTTTATTGTTTTATATTTTTATTATTTTATTGTTTCCCTTCTACGTAACTTTACCGAAAGAACCAAGAATATTGCTTATTTCTGTTTTCAAATATTCATGAATTCATTCAAATATGAGTAGCTTGAAAGTGTAGGTTATCAGACCTCTCCACGAAACCCGAAGGTGGCGATGGAAGACAGGTCCTCAAATTTCTCCAGCTTGCTGGTTGTGAAACGCTCACACACGATCTCCATGTCCTCCTTCTGTTGGGAGTCAAACGCATCACATTGGTCAAATGGGAGCGATGAGAACCCATAGCACGTATTACTGGTCAGGAGAACTACAATGAATATGTGGCCTGGGGTACTTTATTACTATCATATTTTTTTAAAATTCTCAATTGAATTTCAATTTTACGATTAGCATCATGTTCCATGACATAGAAATTGTCATTTGCAACTTTTACCGAGACCAGTGTAACATCACCTTGTATCAGAGAACAACAGCCTTCAGAAAATGACAAATTTGGAGGTTCCTTCAATAGGCCTATTATCTATACTTGGCAGTGCACATTTGAAAACGCTCCGTTAACAATGGAAAGAGCAACATTTTTAAGCCTTAAAGGTGAAGTGACAAGCTAAATTAACGTGGATTTTTGGTGCCATAATTGGTGATCAGGCTGAGAACGTCTATGTATGATACTTGAGAACCCGGTTTGCACAAAGTGGCTGCCCCCATTGGATATTTGATTCAGGAGACACTTTCACTTTAAGACCTGAATGATTTTTAAATACCATATTAACACCAAAGTAATGAGAACTGGGAGCCCCAATTCCATCACGTGAATTCGGTGGCCACAGACATTGGGATGGGATCGGTTAGGTGGCCTGCCTCACTTTGGCCACAGTTGTTGACCGATGGCATCCAGTGGACTTCGTGGGGTGCGAGGCTCACGCGAATACCCGTGCCATTGTCCTGGATCTGAATAAGCTTCAGTCCTCCATTCTTCACTGTCACCTGTATGCTCGTGGCCTTAGCATCCAAACTAAAAGTACAAAACAAAAAAAGACAATCCAAATGAGGATATGACAGGGGTTACTTAGCTGTTATGCTATGCGGCCGCCAAGCTTGACATGACATTTCATTATTTTAAACAATATGTATAATCTGGCAAAAGGCAACGTAAATGAATTATCCAAAAAACAGTTTTTTTGGGTTAGATCGCTTAAATATATAAATCTGTCGTTAGACCCGCCACCACCCGATACAGCTAATTTGTAAGGTTTTTCACATAAACAGAACATGCCAATTCATCACTAGTACAGCAGACCAGTGTTGGAGAGCAAAGCCACAACATTTACAATGTTAGTAAAACGTTTCGTCAGTAATTACGAGATGTGATGACATCTACCCCTCTATTTAAGGAAGGAAACAGGAGGATTTCTCCACAAATCTGGCTGTCGCCTGATGGAGCTAGTTTTAATTACTGGCGAAACGTCGTACTCAGATTGTAAATGTTGTGGCTTTGCTTTCCAACACACCGGTGTGTTGTACTAGTAACGAATTTGCATGTTCTATTTACGTGACAAACCTTACTAATTGGGTGTCGGGTGGTGGCGGCTTTAACAAAACTTTTATATATTTACGCGATCTAACCCAAAAAACCCGTATTATGGATAATGGTCACGAAAGCCTACGTGTTAAATTAATGTTAATTCAAATAAAACAATGAAACTATTTACTCAACATGGAATTTGCCAACATTTACCAATCCATGGCAAGCATTCCTGGATAAATTCAGGACTATTATAGCATATTATATTACAAAATGTAGATAGTGTTGAGTAAAGCATACAGTTGCATACATATTTTCAATGAAATGGTAATACATAAAACTTTGATACAAATTTAATATAAGTAATATTTATGAAAGAATAATACTACACTTCAGAAGATGCCTTTAATAAGTTTATAATTTATATATTTATTTACATATTTCAATGATATACATACAGTATATTGTAGTCCTCAATTCTGTCGACAGCCCCGAGCAAGCGGTGCTGAAAAGACGGGCTTTTGTGTTTTCATCCTGAATTTATTGTGAACTTGCAAGTGTCTGAATAGGAGTTAAGTGCTCAAGAGAGGTAAATAAATACGCTTTGGTTCTTTCGCTGAGTCACGTAGGTATAAAATAAAATAAATAAAATCACGACGTTTCGATTGCAACACAAGCAATCATTATCAGGTGGGAAAACCACAGCAAGAACATTTTTTGCTGTGGTTTTCCCACCTGATGATGATTGCTTGTGTTGCAATCAAAACGTCGTGATTTAATGCAATTTTCTACCTACGTGACTTTACCGAAAGAACCAAAGAGTATGGATCCCTGCAGTCACGAAAACTTCAAATCTAGATTAGAGGTAAATAAACTTCTTTAGGCTAGATTTGAAGTTTTCGTGACTGCAAGGATCCATACTTCGTCAGTACAAATACAAATGGAGTCTATATTATTGGCCCTGGCTTGACAGCTTGATTTGCAGTCGTGGACATGCGTTAGTCCAGATGCTCTGTCCCTCACCAGTTCTCCATCATCTCCTTGATGGCATTGGCTGGACGCTGGATCACCTCCCCGGCCGCAATCCGATTTACGACGGCCTCATCCAGGCGCCGGATCACGCACGGTGCAGCCATGGCGTGCTGAACTTTGTCCCCCTGGGCTCTCAAAGACACACGGTGGCACAAGAAAATCACTTCTGTAAAAAGCACAGCTCCACAAAGGTTGCTCCTTGCCAGGTGGAATTGTGAAGTTAACAGTGGCACCTGTGCGGTGGTGGCTATGCAGCACTGCTGAGGCGAGGGTTGGTGAACTAATCTCCATGTAAACTAATCTCCATCTCCATTGGAACCTCCTTTGCCAGTAGCAAAATATGATAATAGTTTTTTTACCCTTTTATCTGGCAAAAAAACTGACACCTCTTTTTACAAGGAGTCATGTTTGCATTGACCACAATACCTGCGGTCGGAATGCAAAAAAAAACACAAATCTAATAATGTATGCACTGTCCTTGAAATTGATTGGTCCACACCCGAGACAGCTTTTCTTAGAGCCTAGTCTCACATGGTGTTGGACCAGATGGCCTTTTGGTGTAATTGTGGTCAATGCAAACATGACTCCTTGTAAAAAAGGTCAGTTTTGTTGCCAGATGAAAGGGTAAAAAAACAATTATAATCTCCATCTGTTTCCATCTGCACGGGGATAGTGTTTCCCGCTTGCGCTTGTGGGTTTTCTCCGGCTACTCTGGTGTCCTCCCACTTGTATAAACCCTAATTAATTGGCTGAAAACATCCTAAAATAAAAACCCAAAGCAGGACCCTCCTGCAAAAAATTGTCCAACGACTCCGTGTGCCGTCAACGAGTAAAACAAGGTTTGATGTTCTCTTAACACATCCCATCAGCGACACGGCCTTGTTCTGGGGACGGAGTGCAATATTTCAGCGGCATTGGTACAACACGGGCACAAACTCTGCAACTGGGTTTCGACTTTTGGTGTCTCATCAGTCGTAGCAGCAGCAGCAGTGAGGCTTTACCTAAACCCAATTTTTACTTAAAGCTTTCGTGACTGCAGGTATTCATATTACTCTCACATTTACATACTTATTCCTTCTTTAGCTTCGCCCATTTACTCTTGGGTTGAGCCCACTAAAATCCGATAACACATTCCTGCGGAGGGAGCTGGTAGGAACGTTGGGTTGCTCGGTCAATGGCCAGGGTCAACGGCGGCGTGGTGTATTCCACAAACATGCCCGACTGTGAGGGTGGGCACAAGCCGGCGTGAGTAGGTTAAACGTTGAGTTTTATAAGGGCACCACGGGGTGACCAGCCCCTCCCCACCCAGCCCCTCCCCACCCAGCCCCTCCCCACCCAGCCCCTCCCCACCCAGCCCCACCCCTCCCAGCCCCTCCCCACCCAGCCCCTCCCCACCCAGCCCCTCCCCACCCAGCCCCTCCCCACCCAGCCCCACCCCTCCCAGCCCCTCCCCACCCAGCCCCTCCCCACCCAGCCCCTCCCCACCCAGCCCTCTCCACCCCTCCCATTTTTGGAATCACGACGGACGGACGGACACAATAATCCCCTGTGGGCTGATGTAACCAGGAGGTTCCTACCAGTATAAACTCTTGTAGCAGTACCTCTTTCTCCTATGTCAGCAGTTCTCCTGCTGTACCTGTCCCACCTGATGAAGGCCGCTTGTGTTGCGATCGAAACGTCGCGAACTATTATTCAACGCCAGTGACGATGTGAACCGGTCCTAGGCCACCCCTAGGTAGACTCGGCCTCAAATGAATACCTGGTGCGGTGTGTAAACATCGCCACGCGTGGTGCTGGCCGCCACACCACCTCGTGCGCCGTGTCGGCCTTCATAGCAGCTGCTCGCTTAACAGCACTTGCCCCTACAGTTTGTAAAGGCTACACGGGGTGGGGGAATCTTTGTCTTTGTTTACAGTAACGGGGCGCGTAGTAGCGGCAGTGATGCTCACCGTGTCGCCTTTGCTCGTCTAAGAATGTTTGCGTTGCAAACGGAGGGGGGAGAGACGCGCGCGGGAGACTCACGCAACGCCACTCGACGACGCTGCCAACGATTGTCGAGGTTTCTCACCCGACGATTCGCGCCCAGGGCCACGCAGCGAACTTCCCCGCCAAAAATAAAAGTCGGCGGCGTGACGTCATTCCGCAGAGTAACAACGCAGCGCGTCGAGTCAAGCGAAAGTGTTCGGTGACGCAATCACGTAAGTTAATAATATAAATAATAAAAAAAGATATAGTTTTTATATTATTATTTATATTATTTTTATTCTTTATTTTTACCTACGTGACTTTAGCGTAAAAAACCTAAGAGTATGAATCCTTGCGCTCACGAAAGCTTCAAATCTAGAAGCAATCACGTAAGTTGGCGTTTTGACGTCATCGCGCATAGCGCAGTACCGACGCGATGACGTCATCACGCATTTCATATTAGGACAGGACCAGTGTGGTGATGTCATCACGCATTTACCATTAGCACAGTACCAGCGCGATGACGTCATCGCGCATTTCACATTAGCAGTCCCAGCGCGATGATGTCATCACGCATTTTCACATGAGCACAGTACCAGCGCGATGACGTCATCACGCATTTCATATTACGTGCATGACGTAATGGCTCACGCCGCTTTCTCTCCCGTCATCTGCATGCGCCCGAGCAGAAATGCGATGAGCGGTCTCTGTTTTCAGCTCAAACCTTCATCGTTGTCTCTCGCTCTCTCTCTCGTCGCCATTCATTTGCGTTTGCTCCACAGTTGACCAAGCGTCTTGCACTTGAGTGCGTGACATGCTGTCACGCGAATTACAAACTAAAACACACACACCGGGGCTTGTGAAGTGGCGTGCTACGGATAGAGACACTCCACCTGGGTTGTGGTCTAGGGACACTTGGGTAAACACGTGGTGCCCCACCACGTGAGTACCCGGGTGCAGCAGTGGCACTTCTGGCTGTGTGCTGCTGATGAGTGCTGTTTGTGCTGAGTACGCACTGCTAACGAGTCGCGTTTATACTGTTTATGAATGGTGTGTGTGTACTATGTACTACTGATGAGTGGTGCACGGTACTGCGTTTGTACTGCTGATGAGTGATGCACAGTATTGTGTGTGTACTGCTGATGAGTGATGCACAGTATTGTGTGTGCACAGTATCGTGTGTGTACTGCTGATGAGTGATGCACAGTATTGTGTGTGTACTGCTGATGAGTGGTGCACAGTATCGTGTGTGTACTGCTGATGAGTGGTGCACAGCATTGTGTGTACAGTATTATGTGTGTACTGCTGATGAGTGATGCACAGTATCGTGTGTATACTGCTGATGAGTGATGCACAGTATCGTGTGTGTACTGCTGATGAGTGATGCACAGTATCGTGTGTGTACTGCTGATGAGTGGTGCACAGTATTGTGTGTGTACTGCTGATGAGTGGTGCACAGTATTGTGTGTGTACTGCTGATGAGTGATGCACAGTATCGTGTGTGTACTGCTGATGAGTGGTGCACAGTATTGTGTGTGTACTGCTGATGAGTGATGCACAGTATCGTGTGTGTACTGCTGATGAGTGGTGCACAGTATTGTGTGTGTACAGTATTGTGTGTGTACTGCTGATGAGTGATGTACAGTATCGTGTGTGTACAGTATTGTGTGTGTACTGCTGATGAGTGATGCACAGTATCGTGTGTGTACTGCTGATGAGTGATGCACAGTATTGTATGTGTACAGTATTGTGTGTGTACTGCTGATGAGTGATGTACAGTATCGTGTGTGTACTGCTGATGAGTGATGCACAATATCGTGTGTGTACTGCTGATGAGTGATGCACAATATCGTGTGTGTACTGCTGATGAGTGGTGTAAACAGTTTGTACGGCTGATAAGTGTACTAAGTATGTACTTTTGATGAGTGGACTGTGGAAGTGAACTATTATTGAGTAGAGAGTGAATCTGAGAGGATGTGAGATTGAGGCCGATTTGAAAGTTTGGGCAAGTGCTTGACACACAATTTTAAAAGTTTAATCTATCGTTGCTGAAGTTACTTACGCTCAAGTTTACGTAAATGCGTTTGTGGTTGAGCCTTTCGGATCTGAGTATAGAATCTTTTTTAGCCGGGTTATTGTATCTGGGTGCATTTATGACCCTGTGAGGCTATAGCTGACCTTTGAGAAGCAATCGATTGTGGCTGAGGGTGCAGTGGAGTTAAATCAGTAATTTTGCGTGTGTGTATTCTAAACACGTGTGTAGTTTACAAAATAACTTGGCCATAACTTGTTACTGGTTGAGGGCCAAACAAGACTTTCACATACTTTGGTGGAAAACGACACTTTAACACACACACAGATGTAACTTCTGACACTGGAAGGGGACCTTTCAGTTGCAGAAGTTGAATGGGCACGCTAACATTGTATAAACACCGTGTTACCGAGTCGAAAACATCCCTTGCCCTCCCCCCCCCCACTAGTACCCGATTAGTGCGGCCAAGATGCATTTACTGATGGAAATAGTTTGCGAGGCCACTCACCGGCACACAACACAGACTGCCGTCATGTGCCTACGGGGCATATTAAATGAAGTAGTGGGTTCGTGTCTGGCCTATGGGCTGACAATTCCCAATTAGGCTTGCTACCTGTCTGGGGTTTGACCTGAATAGTCTGGGAATTGCTATCTGGAATTAACTGATTTGTAACGGAGATCTGGTGGTTTTGATTTGAAATGATGTGTAATAAACTTGGCGTGCTCCTGTCTGCGCTGCTGTTTTAGGAAAGCGGTGAACATTTAAGCTCAGGAGAGGAGCTTGTGGACGTGGACATGAACAAAGTGCCCGAGTGCGAGGATGATGAGCAGGATGATGGAGATTTCGAACCATCGCAACTGGGGACCAAGTCCTAGTAAGAAAACTCAATGCAACTTATACAACACACATGTACATATAGCCAGGTGACATTGTGGTTATCACGCTCGAAGATCGTGAGTTATTCTGGTCAGGGGTGTATTCCTCCGGGGTAGATGAAATGAGTTTTGCTTTAAGGAAAGCCAAAAGTGCTTATCCTAGGAAAAAACGAGATCCATCGCTTGTTTGATCGTATGACGAACTTTGACTTCTAGAAATTTAACCAGATAATACTGAACGAGTCCCTTTCAATGAATGACACAATGGGATTTTTCGCCAATGTTTTAATGAGCAACAGTGCATTCCAAAATTCCCAAGAGGTCATCAGATTATTGTACTTGCTATGCTGCCATATACTGAGCTCAGCTGTACAGTTGGATCATTTGAATAAATCATAGTAGGGGGTACATTGTTGTCACATGAAAGCTGTGAGGTAGCATGGTTTACACTTTAGACAAAAGGCTAAAGTTCGATTCCCATTCATTTCTGCAGGGCATTTATTGTCAACCAAAGTGTGCCGCCAGCTGTAAAGTGTGTGTTAAAAATCTTGCGTATGCATTGGTATTCTTTATTGAGCATTTTTGTTCTCGTGTTATAACCTAACTATCCAACATTTTATAAATTATCCGTGGCACATTTTTGACACGACGAAGAAAACTTGTCCTGGCATAACAGATGCAAAATAATTCTAGATTTAAAGTAAAATACTCTTTGGTTCTTTCGGTAAAGTCACGTAGGTATAAAATAAAATAAATCACGACGTTTTGGGCGCAACACAAGCGTCCGTCATCAGGTGGGACAGCGTGGTCTGCTGCCGAGGCAGACTTTTAAAACGTTTGAAATGGGTGTAGCCCAAGGGTCATAAAGAAGTGGCCGGGCTAGTGATGTTAATATGAGGAATTAGCATGTAACTGTAAGATATAAAATATTCACAATGGGATTTGACTCTTTAATATAAAGGTGAGAGCCAACCAGGTAGTTACTGCCTGTAAAAATTCATGTATCTTACCCTAACTGCTGCCAATAACAGTAAATGTGCAATCCATTTTGCATTCGAGAAAGACCTGTCAATAGTGATTGGATCAGGAGCACCGTTATTACCGCGTTTAACAGCAACACCACTTAATTGCTAAGTGTCGGGGTAATCTGTACTGGGAGTTGTCAAATGAATACGATTGACTGCAGTACTTGCAGCAACAACATATTGCTTTAATGCCACTTTAATTCCCTTGGGATGAGTGCCTGCCAGGGGAGATTCAACAAGAACATGTTTAAGCTGAATCTCTCCTGCGCAGAGGGCCTTGGCAATTTTTCTTGGCAACAGTAAGCTTTTTTCCATATGCAGAATAGATTTTTTAAATCGATTTAAATCACAACAAAGCATCAAGTCCTTTATTCTCACTATTGCTCCTAAACTGTGACATTGTATTGATGTAATGCCATTCTTTCTCGATGCAAAGTGAGCAATGGGGCAGTGTTAATCTGTTGATGGGCCAAAGCCAGGAGTGTAAATTCCACATTCCCATGACAGGGTTGTTATCTTAACAAGTGAGCCACTTTGACAGACTTTCCACAAAGTAGTACTCATTTTCATCGACTTCTCGCAGGATGATGAGTTGAACTAAGTGCATCTTATGTTACTATAATTGTCATATTCAGGACATTTAGAAATTAGTTCCTGTTTCACGTTTCTTTACAAATCATGCAATCATTGCTATATTCATAGTTATTCTGATATGGTTTTATTATCAGGTCATTGCTGCCACCCATTTATAAAGGAATGTTTCCATCCTTATAACTGTGATTCATCTGGTTTATAGCAAAGGGATGTCTTTATATTTACATCATTATCTGTTTAGTTTGCTGTCCTTCCCCTGCTCCTCCGATTAGCACAGTTTGCTACATACATATATTATTGAGGCATCAGTTATATTCTTTTCCTATGACAAGGAAAGCCTCAATCTCAAGACACCTTATCACGAGGGTCTGACATTGAGATATTTAGCAATTACCATTACTGAGTGTATTTACATGTAGCAAGACACTGGATTACATGGAGTAAGCCAACACATACACACAAGTACTCTTAGGTTTTTTCGGTAAAGTCACATAGGTACAAAATAAAAAAACATACACACAAGGATAATACTCAGAGCTCTGCACAAATGGAATGAAAAAGCAACAATGAATTTTCTGTGATGGAGTCC